TTCCTATTTAGTCATATTCTTCCAAACTTATTCAGGCTTACTGATCAAATCAACTCTACTTAAATTAATGAAAAACGTATTTAACCAAATTAATTAATTTCTTTGATGGGGGCCACACTCAGTGATGTTCTGGGGTTACTTCTGGCTCTGCAATCAGGGATCACTCCTTGCAGTGCTCAGGGGAATATACGGGATGTTGGAGATTAAACCCGGGTTGGCCACATGCAAGGCAAATGCCCTACCTTCTGCATTATCTCTCCAGCCCCAAACCATTATTTTGACAAATTATCTCAATAGTAATTGATTACAGTATGTCAACTGGAAGTTTTCAGAGGAACTAAAGGGCAAAGATACACTGAAATGTCACTAGATCAGGAGTTCTGGGCACAGGAAAAGCTACAGAGCCTCTGAGTTCCTGGGCAGTCTCAATTTCCTGCCAATACCCAGTGCCCCATAATTCTAACCCCACCCTATGCTGCTGCTTGAAGGGTAACAACAATGGAATTCTGACTAGATCCTCATGCCCATAAAAATCCTTTTAAGATTTTGTGACTTTCCATTTTTCATACATAAGTTGTATTTACCTACCTACAGATAGTAAAAAACTACCAGACTTCTGCCCCTGAATACTCTCGAGGAATAACGTCTATTCTTGTGTGTAGCCACTTTCCATAGTGGTTTGTGAGCTACAGCAGAGCTTGTGAGGTGGAAGCAGGCACTCTGCTCCCTGGGCTGAACCCTCATTTGATTCGGAAACAAAGTTCCTGTCTACATTTCTTTCCAGCCCAGCAGTGATTATATTATGTAGATGAGGAAACATTCATTTTTGCCTCCTAATACCATAACAAGAAATGCCTAAGGGGCTTCGATGCTGGGTGCAACACTTGGCTGCAGTGCTCTAGAGATAGGATCACAGTCACGGTCCTCCCGTTGTTCATCGATTTGCTCGAGCAGGCTCAGTAACGCCTTCATTGTGACTTGTTACTGTGTTTGGCATATTGAATACGTCACAGGGAGCTTGCCAGGCTTTGCCGTGCGGGCGAGATACTCTCGGTAGCTTGCCGGGCTCTCCAAGAGGGGCGGAGGAATCAAACTCGAGAGATAGGATAGCACACTCTATTTCTTGTGCTCAGAAGGGCAAGGTCCACAACACACCCAAGACAGACCCCCAACCAGTCAAACGTTCATGATTTCAAAATCACACAGGAACAGGTAAGATAATCCCCTTCACAGTTAATATAATCACTTGACAGAAAGTCATTGAGGAAGAGCAGTATCACTGAATAGCATAAACTCATCAGTTATAGAACATTCCATTTGATAGCAGGATATACTTTCAAGAGCTCACAGAACATATTCGAAGATTTTAAAAAAAAAGCATAGCTTGCACCTTTTCAAATTTAAAAGATCACAATAATGTATCACAACATATTAGAATGTAGGCCAGGGCCAGAGAGACAGTACGTGTAAAAAGTAGCCAACATGAGTTGGATCCCTGACACCCCATATTGTCCCCAAGCCACAGCAGAAGTGATCTCTTACTCTTACATCAGGAGTAGTAGGCCTTGAGCAGTGCCAGGTATACCCTCCACCCCCACCTTTACCTCCCAATAATATTGAGAGGCTAAAATAACAGAAAACCCGATCCTCAGCATTTATCCCAGAGAAACAAAATATTCATACACACAAAAAAAACCCTGCCATACTGCTCATAGAAGTCTTGCTGTAATCTCAAATGGATAACAATCAAGATGCCCCTAAATAGGTAACTAGTTATAGAAAGGCAAGCACTCTTCCTGCTGCACAATCTCTCTAGTTCCTTTTATACATTATTCCAAGCACTGCACTGCACTGTAACACTGTCCTCCCTTTCATCGATTTGCTCGAGTGGGCCCAGTAACGTCTCCATTGCAAGACTTGTTGTTACTGTGTTTGGCATATCGAATACGTCACAGGTAGCTTGCCAGGCTTTGCCGCGAGGGCAAAATACTCGGTAGCTTGCCAGGCTCTCCGAGAGGGGCAGAGGAATCAAACCTGGCTTGGCCAGGCCAGCAGCTTGCAAGGCAAACGCCCTACTGCTGTGCTATCGCTTCAGCCCATTTCAAGCACAGAGGTGAAGAAAGGACCAGTGGTCACTAGAGATTGAAAATAGTGAGACTGGAGAGATATTATAGTGGGTAGGGCACCTGCCTTGCATGCAGCTGACCGGGGTTCAATCCCTGGCATCCCATAGAGTTTTCCAGCATTGCCAGCTGTGGCACCACCTAGGAGGAATTACTGAGTGCAGAACAAGGAGTAACCCCTGAACATCACTGGGTATGTCCCCAAAACTAAAGAAAGTGAGGTTGGGATGTATGACTATAATGGTGAAGGTGTTTGTTGTGATGGAATAGTTTTGTATCTTACAGTTGCAGAGATAAAAAATGAGGTAAATGACAGAACTGTTGATTTTCTGTAATTGTTATTGTAATATATTTATGTGCAATACGAGAATTGGGGGCAATGGATGAATGGAAGATGGGACCTCTGTATCACTGTAAGTTACTTCATAAACAGATCTAAGCAGCACAACTTAAAGTACAGCAGGTAGGGCATTTGTGTTACAAACAGCTGGGTGACCCGGGTTTGATCCCTGTCACCCCATATAGTTTCCCAATCCTGGCAGGAGAAATCCCTGAGTAGAGAGTCAGGAATAAACCCTGGGAACCTCCCCATATAGCCCCCCAAATGAAACAAACCCTCTTCTTTTGCTAGCACAAGGATTAATGCACATGCCTTACATGCAGCTGACAAGGTTTGACCTGGGAACCACATGACCCTCAGAGATGGAAGTACCCCCAAGCACAGCCAGTGTGGCCCAGCCCTCCTGCCTCCCACCATATTCATTTTCTTTAAAAAGATGTATGAACCACATGACTTTATTTTCTGGAAACTTTTGTCAGGCATGAACCAATACCTATAAGGAACTGATGCAGTTTATCTTGTTCAGAACTTGAACAAGAATCTAGCTGGCCAAAAAAGGCTCTGCACTAGAGAAGACCTATGCTAACAATGGTCCCCAGAGCCTGTCAGGAGTGATCCCTGAGTGCAAAGCTAGGTGTAAGCCCTAAGCACTCCAGGATGTGACCAAAGGAAAAATCAAAAAGAGAAAGTCAAGTCCTGCAATAACAGGATCAAAACTAGTTGGCAGCTTCCCAGGATTTAGGTGCACCTAAAAAAACAAAAACAAAAACAAAACAAAACCAAAAAACTGGTTGGCAGCAAGTCCAAGTCAATGAAGGTCAAGAGGCAATAGACCTGTGGGTTATTTTGTCTGCAAATTCATCTTTCTACAAGAATACCCCCAAGAGACACTGCCTTAGGACCTGAGTGGTGAATTGGTTCTGGCTTCTCAATTATCATCAACCCTAAAACCTATGCTCATAAATGCAATTAAAAAATTTACAAAGACTTGCTCCCTTCCGCCCTCCTCCCTCTGGAAAGAAAGATGGCGGCCACATGGGAGCCTTGTGGACAGCAGGTATGAGCCGGGAGTGTGGGGGCAACTAAAACCTCATGGGAAGGGGGGCGTTCCGGTCCGTCCTTCACGCCCTACCGAGGTCACCAGTTGCCCCCCACGAGCGGCTCTCCAGCACAGCCACGGCCCCAGAAGCACAAGGACTTAATGCAGAACCCAGCAGCTTGGAGCAGAAAAGTGAAAGGACTATGCATTGACCCAGGCCATCAAGTCTGCCGGAGGGGAAAGGGTGTTGCCCCATTCGCCCTCTCCTCTCTGGAAAGAAAGATGGCGGCCACATGGGAGCCTTGTGGACAGCAGGTATGAGCCGGGGGAGTGGGGGCGACTAAAACCTCATGGGTCGGGGGGCGTTCCGGTCCGTCCTTCACGCCCTACCGAGGTCACAAGTCGCCCCCCGCGAGCGGCTCTCCAGCACGGCCATGGCCCCAGAAGCACAAGGACTTAATGCAGAACCCAGCAGCTTGGAGCAGAAAAGTGAACGGACTATGCGTTGATCCAGCCCATCAAGTCTGCCGGAGGGGAAAGGGTGTTGCCCCATTCGCCCTCTCCTCTCTGGAAAGAAAGATGGCGGCCACATGGGAGCCTTGTGGACAGCAGGTATGAGCCGGGAGTGTGGGGGCGACTAAAACCTCATGGGAAGGGGGGCGTTTCGCTCCGCCCTTCACGCCCTATCGAGGCCACCAGTTGCCCCCCACGAGCGGCTCTCCAGCACGGCCACGACTCCAGAACACAGAAACCAATTTCTTAACTATCTGACTTTCAGTAGAAATACTTCCAGGGTCAATAGGTAAAATAGCAGAAATCCAAAACCAACATTTAATTCTTGAACCCAGCTGTAGAAAGCAAATCACTTCACAATGCTTTTTCAGCATGTCTGATTTGGGGGGGGGGGGGGGTAAACTCTAAATAATAGTGGTGAGTCTTTTATTGAAACAATCTAATCAAAGCGGATAGAGTGTTAACTAGAATTCATCTGCCTCACAGGGACGGGGAGGGGTGGGGGGTGGGGTTTTATTGGGGTTCTTCATGGGAAAAAAATAAGTATTGGTAAAGGGAAATGTGTTTGATATTTGCATGACTGAGACATAAACCTGAAAGCTTTGTAACCTTTCCCACAGTGATTCAATAAAAAAAAAAAAAAAAATTTACAAAGACTTTTCTATCTCGTAATGTCCTCTGAGCCTGTCCTGATACTCCTATCCCTACAGTGTACTAACACCATGGTCTCACTCAGCGGGTTCCAATACTAAGTGGTGAAATATAGAACTTCACATACTAAGAGGCAGATCCTCTAAAATTCAAGTCATAAAATAATCTGGAAGTTGGAATTTGGCCATTCATCTCTAAACCTTGTGTCCTACTTTCAAATGTACTTTTCCCTTTGTTCCCTTTATTGGAAGGAATGGAAATACAGGATGTTCAAAAGGGTGAGGGGGGGGGGCGCCCCTCCACCCGCAGAAAGGGAGGATTACAGGACCAATCTCATAGCACTTGGCATCAGTAGAAGACGAAAGGCTCACCACAGTATTTTAGCTTTTTATTTTTTTTTGTCTCTTCACTGAATGGTTATAAGAATAAACATAAAAATATCAACTGGAAAGTTGAAGCAATTCAACTACAACTTGAAGCAATTTAACATTATTTTATTTTTGCTCGTGTGAGAATAGAACCATTGTAACGGATCCATAACCCACCCAATCCAAGTGGTGGGGCTAAGAACGGAGAAAAGGTCTTTTGAGTGTCCTTTTCTGAAAGCAGTACGGTTTCTTCCTTAGGTTACCCAAATGCATTAATTAAGGCTTTTTGCTCTTTCTACATTTTCAGCCAGGGGTACCATCTTTGATAATACATATTCCTGTTCTGCTATGTGATAGCTAGGAAGATCCCCTTTTAAAACATTTCAAGGAATATGGTGGAAAAGTATGGAATAACTCTACAGTAGATTTCAACCTTCTATCTTCAGTCTATTCTTCCAAGATGAAGAGGAATCAAACGTCTTATAGCTCCCCATTTTGACATTCTTCAAGTTATACAACCCAACCCAGAAAGTTTTCCAGAGAAAGCACATTAAGATTTACATAAACGTTTTTCCTTTGCTCCACATAAGAAGCCAACACCTGCAGCAGCCCCAGCAGCACTGTGCAGGCTACTCATCTGTCGGGAATAAGAGCTTTCTTCTGCCTCACTCAAGCGATTCCTTGAAGCCCCACGAAATCTCACATTTCACTGTTTTCGGTTCTTACGTTATTGCTGTACTATCTATACAGTCAAAAACTCTCTGATCCTAGATGCTTTTCAGATTTCATACCTTCCTCACTTTTCCTAAACGATTCCTGAATGTCACAAAGTAAGTTACACAGCAGCCAATGCCAAGACTGTAATGAGCTATATTCTGTGTCAATCTCTGCTGTTCTCCAGAAGGACATACATCTCCATTCATGACAACTGCCCTTGCAGCTTCACCCGTAGTGCCCAATCTGCCTCACCTAATACTTCTGCATGTTAAATGCTCATCCTGGTGGCCACTCACTCTGGCAGGAGAGGTTGCTAAGTGGATCAGAGGAACCTCAGGAGCAGATGACCTGGTTTGGCCATCCTTTAGAACGCACAATAACACAACTCCAGCCATGGCATGCTGTGGGTCCTTCCTCCAGCAGTCACATCTGGGTTGCCTCAACTATCACCTGAGCTGGGGGAAAAGAAAAGAAGCCTACTCTGCAGCAGATATTCTAAGCCATGTGCCAAACTGCCTTTGCACATAGCATCAAGGGGTTTGGTAAGGAGAGGCTCAGGGCCCATCTTCAGCTTCACTTCTCCAGGATCTCTACCACCAGGACTCAGGCTGGTGCCAAGGGCACAGTAGTATCACTGACAGTAATTTTCCCATTCCTAAGCAAGAACACAAAGTGCCGCACAGACTCAAGATACTGCAGCATGGTCTTTGTTGACTCAATGCCCAAGCTTTCTGGCGATAAGGGGACACTGAATCAACAGTTCTTAGGAGCTGAAAGCAAAGCCTTAGCCAAAATTTTCTTCACCACAGGACTTATTAGCACGTTCTTTAAGTCACTTCATTTGCTTCTCCATCCTCTTCAACTTCTCCCCCTTTGCCCACTCTTCAGAGGCTCTAGACGAAGTACTCAAAGCACGATAAAAAGAAAATGGGGCCAGTTTCATCTCCTGTGATCGCTGTTTCCCATGTGTGCAGTGGCCAAAGAGACTGAAGGATGAGAGTTTACTTCTCTGTACCTGATGGTGGATCTGAAATTAGAAGCTCCTGGGCCTCATCAGGCTACTCAGTATCTGATGTGGTTCCTAAGTAGTAGTTGCTGGTACACAGTCTCTGATAGCATCTAAGTGAAGGCAACAGTGATATCGAAACAAAACCTCTGGGCATGGAACAACCAACAGGTCTGGATAATCCTGGTCCGAAGCACAGGGCTCTCAGTCTTAACTCCTGCCGCCCCCAGCCCAGTGGGACATCTCTCCCAACTTGGCACAGGAACAGCACAGTTTTCCAAAAGGAACTCCTTTACGAAGTGCAGCGAGCAGGCTAACACAGCCATTGGTCCAATCACAGCAAATGCTGGGAAAGAGTGCCTGATCCATGCCTCTGATCTGCTGAAGAACCTGTGGAACTGACCTAGAGATGCTGGAGGATACCGCTCCCCTAGCCTCTTGCCTACTGGTTTCATAAAACCCTGAGGCACAACCCTTGAGACAGTGGTAGGAAGAAGAAATGACTGTCTTCAGACAAGTGGACAGCTCAACAGGACAGCACATGTCCAGGGCTCACTGTGCAACATCCATCACCAACCGGCAAAGAAGGGCAAATCACACGGCATCTTCAGGGTGCTGGAGGCAGGCGCTATGGCAGAAGCAGCAAAACAGTCAAACTTCCCAGGCCAATATCCAGACATTTTGCCCCAATCCCACTCCTGAGAATTTATTCCAAATTCATTTTCAACAGGGCAAAAAAACTAAATGCACTGAATATCTGTTCTAGCAACTGGTGGTTAAAAAACATGGACCCTGAAGTGAAGAGCCCAGCCTCCATTCTCCCCCCCCCCCGCCCCTGGGGTGGGGGAGTCACACCCAGCAGTGCTCAGGGGACCACATGTTCTTCCACTATTTTTTAGGGAAAGTGACTTATACTTTCTGAGTCATCTTTTCCTCATATGTAAACTATAGATAACGGCACATAATTTCCAGGGTTGTGAGATTAAGTAAACAATCTGCATACAACATTTGAACTATATTATATATTCACCTACCAAAATTAGCTCTTATGAGAATGTGGGGTGGGGGAAGTGGAAAAGGTGAGTTGTTCTGGACAGCAGCATCGAGGGGAAGTCTTAATGACTGCTCTAACATTATCTTTTGAAGGTCTTCATTGTTCTAGGTATTGAGAACACTATGACGTTGAAGCCCTGCAGTTTGGAAAGAAGCTTAAGTCTTTTCACCAAGGTTTTCCTGCTTTGCTAAGGTATTACCCTCAGAAAATTCCTAAGCTTCTAAGACTGTAATAAAGGAGAAAAGATGGGGAAGAATCGGGGAGAAAAGGTGGCAAAAGGATGAAGATAAAGGACAAAGGAGAGATCACTTGAGGCTGGGACTGACAACCGGACCCTTTAGAACTGCAGCCCATTTGCTCACCCCGTCAGAGGTAGCACATGGGAATGTTTCCTCTCTCTGAAGGAACACACCTGGGAAGAGGCCCATTCCCAGGACTGCTGCAGGGCTGCAGCTGGGCACATAGCTGAGGGGTCATCTTCCCAGTCTGACACAGTCATGGTGTGCGAGTAGGAGAGACAGGAGTGACTATAGGCAAGAATGCATTCTCAGGACTGATGGGGGCACAATGACCTGTGCCTAACTTTCCAGCTAGGAGGAGTAACAAAAGTACAGTTCCATAAAGGAAATACACAGAAACAGCCAAGTGCTTGTACTCACCTTATGGAGTGAATACTTTTTTTAAACAGAGTTCAAAATTGAAACCCAGATCTCTTACACGTAAAACATGTGCATTAGTACTGGGACACCTCACAGGCCTATAAACTTTTTATTTTAAATTCATCTAAAGCTGAAGAGATATAGTTCAACAGCTATGTGCCACTGGAATAAGACTTTATATGCAAAAGGCCTGGGTTTAATCCCCAGCAACTCATGGTCCTCAGGAGCACCACCAGGAGTGACTCCTTAGCACCATGCTAGGAGTAGCCTTGGGCACTGCCAGGTGTAACCTGAATTCAAGAATAACAAGTAAAATAATAATAATAAAAAAATTTAATTCTAGGGGCTGGAGCAATAGTACAGCATTGCACGAGGCTGACCCAGATTCAATCCCCGGCAGCCCTTGTGGTCCCCCGAGCAATGGCAGGAGTAATTCCTGAGTGAAAATCCAGGAGTAATTCCCGAGTATTGCCAGGTATTACCACACCCCCACCCCCCAAAAAAATTCTATCCATAAACATAGTCTGTAACCTAAAATAAAAATAAATTATCTTTCAACTTAAAATACCTGTGGGATATCCACTGGCATATGTAAAATATTACTTTATATAGGGGATGCATCAGAATTAAACAATTTAACTTATTAAAAGGAATGCTTTATACTAATCCATCTCATTTGATTCTAAAAGGTAGTGGACAAAACTGAAACCCATTTTTATTGATAAAAGAAAAGAATAAAGATAATCTTAGAAAACTAGAAACACAACTGACACTTCTGTGAGGTCCTACATTATTAAACAGTAATAATATAAAGCTATCAAAGAAACATAAATGTCAAGGATACAGAATAGGTTCACATGTGTATAGTATTGAAGAATGTGAAAGAACTGAACCTGGAAGGAATGGAAGATCAATAAATTTAGAGCCTTATTTCACAAAAATAAACCACAAGTGGATGAAAACCTAAAGGTAACCAAACAAAAGCATTGTAAGAAAAAACAAAAACAATTTCAGTACAAAATGATAATAAAATTTTGCAGATGGATGGTGGTATGGTTGTACAACAGGCTTAATAAACTGGAAACCTAAAAAAATAGGTTATAATCATAAATCGTATGTATGTGTATTTTATCACAATTTTTTTGAAAAAGGTAATATTCTTGCATTGGGAATAGTATTCTCAAGTCATAAAAAATCTTGGCGCCATTATTTTTCAATTTTTCCCTATGAGAACTTTAAATACCTAATGAATTAAAAACAAAAACACGAAAACCCACCCACCCAAAATAGGGCCAGACACACAGAACAGTGAGTAAAGCACTTGCTTTGCACATTGCTGACCCGGGTTTAATCCGAGTTGCCTCAAGCACCACCAGGAGTGATTCCTAGGAACAGAGCCAGGAGAGAATTTTAATTGAAAAGTCCTTCATTGGAAGTAAAAACACAGAAAGGGGCTGGAGAGATAGCACGGTGGGTGGGGTATTTGCCTTGTATGCAGCAGATCTATGTTCAATCCCCAGAACCACACATGGTCCCTCGAGCCCCAACAAGAGTGATCCCTGAACAGAGAGCCAAGAGTAAGACCTAAGCACTGCCAGGTATGGCTAAAAACAACAAGAAAACAAACAAACAAACAAAAAAACAAGGGGAAAAAAGATATACAATTGACTGAAATAAAATATATACAACTTTTATAAGGTTAAATCTGAATATATAAAAAGCTGCTATTAAATACAGAATGACAAGAAGCAATTCATAAAAACACAAAACTTCCTAAGCAACTGGCAAAATGAGGATGTAAACAATTTAAATTTTTTTTACCTATAAAATTAGTGTATTCAAAATACTGATTTCCACACTTGACAAAGATGTATGACAGTAGGTGTAGCCACTGATTTTTTTATTAAAAAGAGAAGCATACTCTATTTTTTTTTGGTTTTTGGGTCACACCTGGTGGGTGATGTTCAGGGGTTACTCCTGGCTCTGTATCCAAGAATCAGTCCTGATAAGCTTGAGTGACCACATGGGATGCTGAGGATTGAACCTGGGACAGCTGCATGCAAGGCAAATGCCCTACCGCCGTAGTACTGCTCTGGTCCTGTTGTCACTACTTATTGGCAAAAGCTTTTAAAGGGCAGCTAGTCAGCAGAGAGTTAGATGTCAGATGCATGCTCACTTACAGGTATCCAGGCATCAGAAGAGCACCCAGAGATACGGAAGAATCCCGAGCGAAAAGTATTCACCACACCATCAAAAAACAAAACACAATCTACTCTTACTGATTTCATTTTCATTTTTTTCATTTCATCATCCTGTTAATCTTCGATTGCCTCGAGCAGGCCCCAGTAACGTCTCTTTCATCCTAGCCCTGAGATTATTTTCACGGCTCTTTAGGAGAATGAGACCCATCATTGTTACTGGTATTTGGCATATTTGGTACGCCACGGGGAGTTTGCCAGACTCTGCCCTGTGGGCAGGCTACATTCGATAGCCTGCAAGTTTGTCCAAAGTAGGAATGAGATAATAAGATGTCATAAAAAAAGATAATAAGATGTCATTAAAAAAAGATAATAAGATGTCATAAAAAAAGTCTTCGGCAGCCGAAGACTCTTACTGATGGTGATGAAATATACTTTCCTACATCCACTATGGGCTGGAGCAAAAGCACAGCGGGTAGGGCGTTTGCCTTGCACACGGCTGACCTGGGTTCGATTCCTCTGTCCCTCTCAGAGAGCCCGGCAACCTACTGAGAGTATCCTGCCCGCACAGCAGAGCCTGACAAGCTCCCCGTGGCTATTCGATATGTCAAAAATAGTAACAACACTTAGTGTTCCTGGAACGAGCAGATGCCACTGGGCTACACTAGCACATGACTGGGAAGAATGGAGATGTTAGTGGTGCCTGCTCGAGCAAATCGATGAACAATGGGACAACAGTGCTACAGTGCTACATCCACTACATCATCCTATAAAACTACTAGACAGGGCCTGGAGAGATAGCAAAGCGGATAGGGCGTTTGCCTTGCATGTGGCCGACCTGGGTTCGATTCCCAGCATCCCATATGGTCCCCTGAGCACTGCCAGGAGTAACTCCTGAGTGCAGAGCCAGGAGTAATCCCTGTGCATCACCAGGTGTGACCCAAAAAGCAAAAATAAAAAAATACTAGACAGTCGCAGGGAAGAAACAGAATAGATTTCTATGTGACCAACAAATAAAAACCTACATAATTTATAAAGCTAATTTGAAAAGCAGCCCATATTCTTTGAGTTCACTTGTCCAAGACGTGTGTGTGTGGGAGTACTACTGGTAAAGCACAAGCCTTGCACGTGTGAGGCCTTGCATTCAATCTAATGCTCCCCGCAATGCTACTGGGTGTGTCCCCAGCACAACAAAATGTGTTTTGTAGAGAAAAAATCTAGAAGAATGCATCTCAAGCTATTAACAGTGATTATCATCTCTAGGAGCAGCAGCATAGGAAATTCTCAATTTCAAAATGACATTCCTATGTTTGAATTATTTAAAATAATTTACCCTTTTTAAAAGAAAAAAAACAAGGAATAAGAAATCAAATGTCAGAAATACTTCTAGGATTAGGGAGATAATTCTAAGACTGGAGTACATGCTTTGCATGCAGAATCCTGGGTTCCAACCCTGGTACCACATGCCCCCTGCCTCACCCATCTAACAAACAAAAATACCTCCACCTTTCTGCAAAAAGGTGAAGAAGGGCCAGAGCAAAAGTACAGTGGATAGGGTGATGCCTTGCCTGCAGCTGACCTGGGTTTGATATTCCCAGCACCCCATATGGTCCCCTGAGCCCACCAGGAGTGATCCCTGAGCACAGAGCCAGGAATAAGTCCTGGGCAACACTGGGTATGGCTCCACAAACAAACCAAAAAAAAAAAGAGGAAGAGGCTGAGAGATTTCTAGGACAATTGGGAACCTTGAGGGGCCAACAGTACATGGCCTCCAGGTTTTCAGTCTAGGAGGAAATGAAGGTTCATCAGTCATGGAACATCACTTGATCCCTACAAAGGCCAGCTCTGGGTTAAACAATGGATGGATACTGAAGGAAAACAGGCCTCAGTGGGTAGGGCAGTTGCCTTGCATGTAGCCGACCAGAGTTTGGTCCCTGACACTCCATAAGGTATCCCAAGCACTGCCAGAAGTGATTCCTAAGTACAGAGCAAGGAATAAGCCCTGACCACTGCTAGGTGTGCCGCACCACAAAAAAAAAAAAAAAAAAAAAAAAAAAAGAGTTGACTTACTATTTTCTTCCCCCCCTTTAATTTCTAATTTTCAGGTGGTTCAGACTATTACTTAAGAACACAAATTTTTTTTAAAGGACTAGAAACTAGATCAACTAGGAGAAACTGATAATTTCCTAGATAACAGCTATAAAAAAAACTTAGCTGTAACCTAAAGCAAGTGAATGCCAAGATCTGGAAAGACACCATTTAGGAAAGCTGTTGGTTAACAAAGTTATTGCCCAAATAGCCTCACCTATAACCTCTGACTAATGAAATAGAGAATGGAAGAGAAAACAGTGAAGAAGAAAGATAAAAACATTAAATGACCGGACACTATTCTTACTCTACTAGAACATACTTATTTATCCCCACAACAATTCCAGGAGTACAAGAGAACAGGAGACTTGAAGAGGTCCATATTTTGCTCAGTTACAAAACTAGACCTGAAGCTTAAATCTGAATCTGGCCTACCTGCAAATTCAGAGGACTGGAAGGCCCTGCCATCAGTTTACCAGCTGACTGGCCCTACCCTGCCAACATGACGCTCATGTCCTTAGTCTTCCCAGTCAGACTTACCTGTGAGTTGGAAGGCAGTACCTGGGAGGCAGACTCCTCTGACAAGGCTGTTCCTGAGCCCATGGGGCTCAGTGTGGTGATTCTGCTTGGCTGGCCACGGAGCGTCAGAGTGATGGTAGTAGGGACCTTCAGGCCTGAGAGAAAAAGGCTTTTTGTTTTGTCACTGTCCCCACTTTCCCTTCCTGAAGTTACTTCCCCACAGACCCTCCTCCCCAGATGGGTCATCTATGCCCTATCGGTCCATCTGAAAGGCAACAGGAAACATCCTGTGTCTTTCAACCTCTCTGGGGGATGGGCCCACACAGCTGAACCTGAGGGTCAATGCCAGGACCCTGCAAAGATGGGTTCAACATCCACCTTGCCCATGTGAGACAGGAAGATACTGAGAGAAGATCCCGTATCTGGGAGTCCCCACGGTTCTCATGAGAGACTCACCTGATGCTTGATTAGAGATCTGAGCCAGGCCAGGGAGGCTGCTTGCCAACTTAGCGAGGCCCCCATTGGTCAGCAGCTGGTGGATGGCTGTGGGCTTCCCACCAGGAGTGGCACCCAAGGAGGAGAGAGTGGTGGCCACAGGAATGGTACGAACAATGGTGCTGGTGCCCGTGGTGATGGCACCCAGGCTCTGCATGGGGGTGGGCAACTTCACACTGGTGGCCTGTGGGACACACAAGCCCAGGTGATCAGAAGCTGTTGCCAACAGCAACATTCGAGTGTGGAGGGCCCATTGCATATCATTAAAGGCTATCATGTTCTGAGTGCCTATAAGCAAGGTTCTCTTCCAGGCATTTTTTCACATGCCACCTTAATCCTTGGGGGGGAAAAAAAAACCTTCTGAGGGAGATACTATTATTATCCTCATTTTAACAGACACAGACAAAAAGACACAGAGTCCAAGACATTTCCCAAGTTCACACAGTAAGTAATGGAGCCTTAAACTTTGGTAGTTCCCGAGTCAGGTGTCAGAAGGCTGTGCTTGCCCTTGACTCAAGAGCCCATCCCCCTGAGCAAACCAACTAAGCTAGAGGAGGCCTCCTCCTCACACCTGCCCAGTCCCCAGGGAAGGTAGATGTGCACCTGTGAGGTGGGCCCTGGAGAGGGATTTGTTGGGAGGCCGGAGGTCTTACTGCTGATATCCTGCAAGCTGAAGCTGAGGCCTTGGAGGAGGCTGCTGGCTGATGTGGCCCCTAGGCGAGAGGATACATACAACAGGCTTCAGTGTGGGCTCAGGTAGTCACCTCTCCAGGCACAGCCATGCTCGCCCATCCTCAACAAGTGAAACACAATGGCTTCCCAAGACAGTTCCAGTGCTGCCTGAAAAATGTTGGGAAGGAAGGGTAGCCCTGGCATGTTTATAGAGTGTCCATGAAAAGAAAAGTCACACAGTAGACACACTGCCCTGGAGTCATTCTGTCAATACCAATGGGCTATAACGAAACTACCCATTCTCCTTTTGGTAGGTTTTGGAAAACCAAAAAGAGCCTAAATACCATTTTTTAAAAAAAATTAAATCTAAATTCCCTTTCTTTTGCAGAGAAGAGGAACAAGTTTAAAGCCCAAAGAATTCCAAATCCCTGGCTTACACTTAGCCTTACAAAGAGAAAGATCCTCTTAGAAGAGAAGGGTCTCTGCTGGCTGCACACAACTAACCTTTCACTGTTGGATGGGTATGAAGGAAGGAAGGAGACCAGCCCAGGCAAGAAAATGTCCCATTCTGCTAATGTTCACCATAGCACCATTTCTGGTTTTCATTCATTTTGGTATCTTTAAAACCCCCCAACTGAAACCTAATACATTCACCTCCCACCATCTACTTCTCTCTGTCATCACCCTCCAGCAGCGGCCCCGAAGACTGCTGGGAAGGGGCTGCTGGGCTCCCTGATACCTGGGAGGGAGCTGCCAGGAGAGGTGGCCACCAGGCGGCTCTGGAGTGTGTGCAGGGTGCTAGGCGCTGTACTGCTGGAGACCACTGAAGAGGCTGGGTTGAGTGACACGCCCCCTTCTGAAGCACTCGACCTTGAACAAAAACAAGGAGTTCATTATCCAAAGACAGAGAGCAGCAGACATCAGTAATGCGGGGAGGGGCCAGAGCAGGCCAAGGCTTAGCAATGGAGCCAAGGCAAGGGCCACCAGGTGCTTCCCCTCATCTTCTGAATTAGACCTCTAGTCTTTCTCAAAGTCAGCCTAAAGAACTTCAGGCTTTTAAGCGAGAGCCGAGGCGTTTTACAAACTTCAAGTAAAAATGAGTTAACAAAGATCCCAATCAGAAAAAGGCCACATTCCCACAAGACAAAATCCAATACTGCTCATCTTCCCAAAGCAATAAATGACTTTAGAGAAAGGGTAAAAATAAAGAAGGGATAGAAGCTGGCCTATGAATACTCACTTGGCTGTGGTGAGAAGCCCGGTGAGCTCCTTGGCCCCTCCAGAAGCTTGTCCCAGAGTCATGGTGATGGGCTTACCTCCCGCAACTACAAAACAGAAAAGCCCAAGGCCACACTGTCAATCCGATTTGGCCCCTATCTTTCAGGCTAAATGCAAAACATTGTGGACGAGGTAAAGTCAACAAGCATTCAAAGTCAAGTGCTTCAAAAGGGGAGTGTCACAACACAGACTTTTCAGTGGTCTCCAGCCACCAAGAACAGGAGGATTAAAAAAATGACAACTACCTTACCGTAGGGAGGATTCAGGTTACTATTTCCTTTCTGTTGTTTAAACATTTGATGTATATAAATAAAAATAATATAATCTTTACAGCAAAATCAAACACAGTACCCCCACATAAAATCATAGATATATTCCCAGAGACTTCTATTTTAAGAAAAATGATATATAATGAAAGCAGGCCCAAAATAATGTTTTGTTCAACATTAGCAAGATTTTCCCCCCTTCAATGTTATAAAAAATAAATATTGAATAAAACAATGTATTTGTAGACCTGCTAAAAAATATAATACTGTGAATGACCCCACAGCTTCCTCTGCTCCTCATTTACATCAGATCATCACCCCCCCACCCCCACCCCCAGCCCCATGTGCAGCCTGTGTCCTCTGTGCTCCATCTCTGCACTGAAATACAGGTTAAGCCACCAAGAACACAAAACTGTGTGCTCTGGAAGAGTTGGGTTTTCTTTTTTTCCTTTTTTGGACAAAGTAACAGAAATTAAGAAAAGGAAGGAAATAAATAGTATACCACAGAAATGTTGAAGAAAAGTGGTAGGAAAGAGCAAAACATCTCAAAGGCCTCCCAGTTATACTTTATAACCTCTCAGTTATACCAAGAGGCTGAATCGGCCTAGAAAAACTCACCCTCTGGAGCTGCTCCCTGGGAAGACGTATAAGGCCCTCCAGTTGCATCTCCTTGGGAGATAAGGGACACCTTTATCTTGGGTCGCTTGGAGGTTTTACTACAAGGAAGAGGACTGGAGGGAGGGTGCCGCTTCAGCTGGACCCTAAGATCATCTTTCTCTGTTTCTTCTGTTTGTTCTGATGAAATGGGAACTGAAAGATGAAGCAAAGGTGAGGTTTGCCACAACTCAAAAGAGCCCAACAGACAGTGAGAGTACCATCCTACTCGTGTGGTCACACGTGAAAGAAACTTGCCATTTTTTTAGTCCCTCCTCACACAGACCCAACTCGAGGGAACTCCACCTCCTCTTTCACCCTGTCCTAAACTCCTAAGAAAGGCTCTGAGTCAGTCGAAACAAGAAGAAAAGACACTTGAGCCAATCACAGGAAAACCAAGTGACTGCATGCTCACCACAGTGGCTTCTCAGAAGAATTGGACTCACGTCCCAGTTTCAAGTCCTCCCCTATCACATAGCTAGAGGAAAGGAAAGATTCCCTCTCATTTAGAACCCACAAGGAACAGACCCTTTCGTCTCTCTGAAAAGGGGATGGTCAGAGACTCTCAGAATGCTATCCTACCCTCAAAGCCTCAGGGGCAGCCCAACAGATGCAAAAAAAAAAAGACCATCACTGGACCTTTAGGCTAGCTTTAAAGAGCTGCTAGGCAAGGGAACATCTGGCCAAGACAACTTTAGGCTCCTACCCCAACAGAGACTATGCTACAAGCCAATCCCCGTGTCATTTTTCCTAGCATAATGCCCACCATAAACCCACACATGGGGTTCCCCATACTCTCAAACTCATCCTGTGTGGTTCAAACCTCACAGACTCTTAACTTACCCCTCCGGTTCCCTCACAGATATTGTCCTCTTTAAACCCAGATGACTACCCCAAATGCTCTTCTTAGTGTAAGTAATCAGGATGGGATGGGGAGGCAACAGCCAAACAGGGTAAGCGGGTGTGGGGGTTAATTGGCCTGGAAATACAGGGACTACTCTAGATCAAACTTAGGCCAGAATCAGCTGGAAGGGTTGCTTAGGCAACAAACACACTGACTACAATCTAAATAGGAAGGAGGGTAAAAGGGAAGGGAGATATAGGTTTTGTGCTATTAAAAGGCTGGTGTGCTTACGGAAGTCATGATAGAGGAAAGGAGAAAGGTACAAGAAAATGCAGGCTCATGAGCAAGGGGTAACGGGCACTTACTGGAGAGGTACAGCCAAGACCCCACAGTGACAGAAGCACAGAGATGAGAAAAACAACACGGAAGCAAACAGAATAGAGGAAACAAAAAGAAAAATAGTACAGAAAAAGGAATCAGACAAAAAACCCCAACGAAACAAAACCAGCAAAAGGTAGAAGAAAGGGGCTGAAGTGAAAATACAGCAGGTCAGGTGCTTGCCCAGCACTGCCAGGAGTGAGGCCTGAGCGCAAAGGCGGCAAGACCAGACACTGCAGGTGCTGCACTCCCCACCAAACTCCCCAAAAAAAGGGTAGAGAAAAAAGGAAAACCAGCAACCAATAAAAGGCAAAAAATAGGAGAGAAGCAGATAGCAGAGGTTGAAAGGTGAGAAAAACAACAATACTCACCAAAGAGACAAGAGGAGGTGCCAGGAGGAAGAGCTTTCCTCACCAGCATATTTTGTTTCAGAAAAGCAGCAAACTGTGCTAGAATGAATCAGAAAGAATTACAGAATCATAGCCAGCCAGAGAAAGGACACAGGAGAGGGAGTAAGGAAACGACAGGAAATGCTTTAGAAAAATGGTGAATAGAAAAAATAAATTCTTTTTTTTTGGAGTTATTTCAAGGGTTTGAAATCTGACTTCCATTCAGCAACGTACTATAAACCCAACATAATAAATGTGCCTGACTCATGGGGCCACTGCCATGAGTTGTAGGAGACCCCTGGCCTGTAGTAAAGCTCCATAAAAGCTGATTATTAACATTACCCCTTGTCTATGAGTTCCACCAACGCAGGAGTGCACAACTGCTGCTCTTTCCACAACACTCCAAGTTCCCTTTTGAATCCAGCTCACGCAGAACTCACATCTGTGTTCAGGGCTTATTCCCGGAGACCATATCAGGTACCGGGGATCAAACCTGGATTGGGGGCATGCAAGGCAAGTGCCCTATCTGCTATTTACTCTCTGGCCCCAGAACCTCTTAGATTCTTTTGTCTTTTTTTTTTTCTTTGAGGGAGGGGAGTTGGTGCTTAAGGGTTACTCCTGGCTCTGCACTCAGAAATCATTCCTGGCAAGCTCGAGGGCCATATGGAGTGCTGGGGATCAAACCTGGGTTGGCCACATGCAAGGCAAGCGCCCTACCAGATGTAGTATCGCTCTGGGCTCCACAGAACTCCTTAGATTCTTAATTATCCCCTCCAGAAGCACAGCATGCCTAAGGAGTCTAGGGATATGGCTTAAGAGACAAAACATATGCCATGCATGTGTGAGGCCCTGAGTAAGAGCCTTAGCACTGCATGCCCCCAGCACCATTAGGAGTAGTTCCAATTTACAAAAAAGAAAAAAGTCTAGGCGGCAGGGATGTGGCTCAGTGGTGGTACACATGAACTGCATGAGGCTATGGGTTCAATTCCTGGCAGCGCTCTCCAAATACAGGCTTCAAAGAGTTTGGAAAAATAAAAGCCTAAAGGGACACACATGGGCCATCAGGAATTTGTCTCTAGCCACTACTTACGAACACTGAGTTCACAGAAAATCCATATGGACCCTCCGGATCTGATCTATAGTTTTCTTCATCTATCCACTTCTGCTCTGTTAGCACTGTTCCTGCTTATAGGCTCCCTCATAAAGTGACTTAAGTCACTTTTAAATTTTGGTTAGCTTTTGGGCCATATTCAGTGGTGCTCAGGACTTACTCCTGGCTCTGGGCTCATGGATCATGGGGTGGGGCTCAGAGCACCATATGGGATGCCAGAGGTTGAGCCTAGTTCAGTCATGTGCAAGGTAAGTGACCTACCCATTGTACTATCTCTCCAACCCTGGATATAAGTCTTGATCTTTTGATATCAACAGGTAAAGGGAACAAATCAACTTCCTGTCTAGCTATAAGAAAGTCATTATGGCTGTGCCTCTCCCTACAACCCAGATAGCACATATTCCTTAATACATCACCAAGTATCAATACCTAAGACTTTCACCTTAGAAATGTCCAAGCACTGAAGTAGAGGCAAGAATCAGTCACTAATTCTCTCCCTACCAACTTAATGCTCACCTTTCTGTAGCATCAAAAATAATTTTTTTGGGCCACACACCAGGTGATGCTCAGGGGCTTCTCCCAGCTCACTTCTCAGGGGTTGCTCTCAGCAGTGGTCAAGGAAGGCCCATTTGAGCCTGGGGGATTAAATACAGGACTTTTGAATTTAAAACATGAGCTCCAATTTTTCTAAGCCATATCCCTGGTCCTCTATACACCTTATAAAGCACTCAACTGCTCTCTAAACTTGTTTCACTATACAGACTCCCAGCCAAATTTAAAACCTATCTGCAGAGAATCCTGATAAACTTCTCTAAAAGTTCCAGCATGGGAACCTTAAATCTTCAAGGTAAAAACAAAGATAGGGTACGAGAAGAGATGAATTATCTTAGAATCTAATAAGTAAATCCAACCATTCACCTCACTGATTTGGAGCAATCTCTGACTACAGGAGTTGCTGGTCAGGGATTGAACAAAAGGTATAGCTTCTCCAGTCTGGAGTTAGAAAAAACTGTGAGGGCCTTCAGGTAGTTCAGTGGTATAGGATTTGCCTTGCAAGCCCAAGGCCACAAGTTAGAGGCTAGTACACTGCAAAAATGTATGTTGAGCACTATCTCTCCAACTCTGGATATAAGTCTTGATTTTCAAGGTGTGTGATTCCTGGTAGGCAGATGAAGTGTGTGAGTACCATGACCAAGTGTGAGATTCCAAGTGTGCAATTCCCAGAAAAGAAAAGAAGAAATTAAAAAAAAAAGTTTCAGATCTACATATAGTCAGCATACAAAGGCCTAACTTCCTTAGAATGCCAAGACAAAGCAATAATCAGTGGAGTTATTATACAGTCCCTGATGCAGTTCTTTTGTGATGTTCAATCCTTGGAAAACATTCATTTCAGCATACTTTTAACCAGAGAGGTGCCGCTGGAAAAAAATGCCAATGTTTTCCAACTCCCACAAGACCACTGCAAAAGAGAGGAAACCAAGAGAGCCTCTGGAGCAGGCACCTGTACCTTGGGCTTGTTTGTGAGTCAGTACAGCTTCTGTCCGCTGCACGTGTCTTTTCAGCAGTTGAGAGCTCCCAACCTGACTGCATTTCTGAGCAGAGGTCACTGCGGTCACTTTGGTCTTGGGACTGGAGGTGGGACTGCTGGACACACTGGAGAGATCCTGAGCAGGGCGAGGGAAAGACAAGAGTCAGCCAATGGTGTTGAAAAGTAATCACTGTTAGCCCTAGGATCCCCTGACCAGAAACTCTTGTAGAAACTCACAGGCTTACTCCACTGAAAAGGTGAACAGGAAGCCTCAGGAAGTGCAGCAATCTACTGCATCGGTTTGTCTCCCCAGCGAAAGTGCGCCCCCTCCTGCATTACCTCTGAGCCTGAAGGAGAGGCAGGCAACTTGGCAGCTGGTGAGGCAGGTCGACTGGCCCGCTCGGGGATCTCAAAGGCCAGGTCTCTGCGCGTAATGTCCCGAGGCTTTTTCTTCTTCTCAGCATCCTGATCCCGGGGCTCAGAGCCCACATGGCCCTCGGTTCGAGTGAGCACTCCCGTCAGAAAGTCAACAATCTCATCCTAGGGCAAAGAGGGAACGAGCCTCTCAGTCCACATCTCTAACAGCTTCAATTCAAACAGATACACTTGGCTTCGGCATGAAATGTCACCCCAGTGTCTGCTCTGGAAAGGTGCTGTCCAGGAATGCTTTCTATTGTGTCTTCTCCCCCGATAATTTGCTAGTGTCTTGATCCATGAATTCCCTCCCTCTTGCCCCCTTTCCTTAGTTTAGAACTTAAGCATACCAGAGGCGTGATGTCTCAGCAGACAATTTTTAAAGGCATGGCAGTTACTGCCAACAAAATCCAGCCTGAAAGGTTGTAGAAAGGCAAACATAACTGAGAAAAACACAGAAAACAACTTTGTGTACCTGAATGCATCTGTCCACCATGCTCTGAGTCAATCCTTCTGATTTCTTCTTTGCTTTGCTTATTCTAAGAAACAAACAAAAAGTGATGTTTGCTTCTAACCAATCCATGGCATCATATGCAGATAAGAATGGATCTCCCCCGTGTCAGTAATTTTCTAGACACAGGAAGGAAGATTATGCTAATCTTCAGGCAGACCTACAGTCTGGAACCTCAGTTTCCACATCAAAATGGGGAAACCATTAATACTTCACTCATGGACTTGTGGAGCTGATGCAAAATAAATTTATGTAAAGAACAAAGAACATATGCCCGCACATGCTATGGGAAAGGGCAGCTCAGACAGAGAATGGAACACCAACTAAAGGGTGTTCGGAGGATTCTCCCAGGATGGGAGATGCATGCTGAAAGTAGACTATGGTCTGACCATGTTTGCCACTCAGTGCCTCTTTTGGAAACCTTAGCAACCAAAAGGAGAGAGAACAAAAGGGAATGCCCTCCCACAGAGGCGGGATGGGATGGGGATATGGGAGGGTTATTGGGATAATTCGTGGTGGAGAATTGGCACTGGTGGAGGGATGGGTACTCGATCATTGTATGACTGAAACCCAAATACAAAAACTTGTAAGGTCAACAACTGTACCACATGGTGTTTCACTAAAACAACAACAACAAAAAAACACAACAAAGAACATATGCAAAGTGTCTGGGATAGGCCAAAGCAATAGTCCAGTGGGAAGGGTGCTTGCCTTGCACGCGGCTGACCCAGGTTCAATCCCTGGCATTCCATACAGTCCCCCGAGACCATCAGGACTAATTCCTGAGTGCGGAGCCAGGAGTAAGCCCCGAGTATTGCTAGGTGTGACCCAAAAAGCCAAAGAATTTATTGATTTTTATTTATAAAAAATAAAGAAAATAAAAAGAGAAAAGTGCCTAGGACAATATGGGGTAGGAGTACCAGCAAACCTGTGGGTAAACAGATAAATGCTACCTGATTACTAAAATCTTAATCTGAAGTCTCCTAGTACAGGCCCTGAAATTCTACTGAGAGCTGTGGAACTGCTATTATAGTAAGAAGGAGAGGAAAACTGGTCAATTCTAGGTCTGTTTAGAACAGATTAGCTCAAAAAGTTAAGAAAAGAATGTTCATACTGGGTTACATATCCCTCTCTGAAAGTTAGCTTTTCAAAAACCAGGCTTTTGACTAGGGTCTCAGCAAGAGGGACAAACAAGTACCCCAAGAGGCAGAGTGAGCAACATTCTCAGCCACTAAACTCCAAGATCCCAATTACTGACTTTTTAAATTTTGGGGGTGGAGTGAGCAGAGTTGGGCCTGGTTTGGGGGCAACACCTGGTAGTGCTCAGAGCTCTGCACTCGGATCACAACTGGCAGGGTGTGGGAGACCATATGGGGACTCAAACCCGGCACCCCATGCAAGGCAAGTGTACTACTCACTGTACTACCTCTCTCTCCTGGTTGCTGACTTCTAACCTTGTGTTAATACCCTCATTCGTAAATGAGGACAATGAATCCCAGAAACTAAACAACTGACTCAAACTTCTTAGCAAAGAAGTCAATACTAAATTGAGGTTTCCTTATTCTGTTCAATGATCTTAGCACCAGGCAAGTATTTCCTAAACAGCCTCACAAGTAACTATCAATTAAGATATCTCCATCTCGTCTCTGGCAATTCACTACCACCTAGTCTCCTATATAATGTCTGAGGGCCAGAATGATAGTACAGCAGGTAGGGCATTTGCCTTGCATTTCGCTGACCCAGATTTGATCTCCGGCACCCCATATGGTCTCTGATCCCGGCAGGAGTGATCCCTGAGCACAGAGTCAGGAATAAGTCCTGAGCACCAATAGGTGTGGCAAAAAAAAAAAAAAACCAAGTAAACAAGAGAATGTCTGAATAAATGTTTTTTAATTGCCTTGATAATCAAAAAATTAGACACTAGTCTATAACAGATGACAAAGGGAAGAAGTTCTCTAGATAATCTCTGCATAAAAAACTGGTAAGTCAGGTACTTAAAGTTTCCCAGTTGAGGGGCTGGAGCCATAGCACAGCGGGCAAGGCGTCTGCCTTGCACGCAACCGAGTCAAATTCAATTCCCCGATTCCCAGCATCCCATATAGTTCCCCGAACACCACCAGGATCTAATTCCTGAGTGCATGAGCCAGGAGTGACCCCTGTGCATCTCCGGGTGCAATCCAAAAAGCAAAAAAAAAAAAAAAGAGGTTGCAAGTGGAAAAAAATTCACAGCGCCTGATATAGTGCAGAGATTTTAAACCTTCATGTGCCCACAGACTGCCAAAAATAGGGGAAATTATTTTGGGGCAAGAAGAAAAAACACTATTCACAACAGGAATATTTATATGTTGATATTTATAATAGTACCACTACCCAGTCCATCACACTCTGTGTTAAGTAACAGGAAAACTGGACCATCAGGACGATTCCACAGAGCATGTCTGAATGGGCGTTGAAAACCTCTCATGTAGTTAACAATACTATGTCCACGTCGTTAAATTTCTGACTTGATTAGTCTGGTTGCACTGCCACTTTACAGATACCTCTCCATCACTACCTGGCTCTTTAGTTGAGGAAAGGACCCACCTGAGATTATCATCAGCTCCCCCAACCACCACCAAGCTGTTTTCAGCCCGAATCTTCTCCCGAAAGTCCTCCATGGCTTCAGGGTGACACTGCAAGGAATTCTGACCAATGACAAAGAGGACTGGTGTCTTCATATCCAAAAGTGGATCATCCACATCCTAAAACAGGCACAGATTGTACAATTGTCCAGTGCAATTTCATTCAGTTTAGGTCTAGCAAGTCCACTTGGAAGAGGCAGTTGGAAAAGAGAGAAGCTGCTGAGCACCACGGTCCAGCAATCAGCTGTCCCCTGCACTTACCCCTCTGGGGCCATCCACAGTTAGCAGAGGAAACCCAAGGCAGACAACTGCAGTGACATACTCCATCACCGACACCTAGATATAATGGAACAGTTTATCTCAATGTCAATGAACTTCACTGCAGCTACATCCTACTCAGAATTCGATTTTGTCCCTCCCTGTCCTAACTTTCACATATAATCCTGGAGCCAGCATTGAGTGCAAACAGAAACATAGCATATGTCAAAGCCATCACCAGCTAGAAAATTGGAGCCCCAAAGGATACTAGCAGACAGCTGACCACAGGTTAGGGGATTTAATATGCCCCTCTTATCAAATTCTAGAGTCTTTTTGCTTACTTTCCCCACCACTAACCACAACTCCTTTTGAACTCTCTTTTCGACATCCAAACTTCTCCAAAACACTTGCTGAGTTTTGTTATCTCTAGAACAAGGATTTTGCAGAAATGGCCTTTCTCTTGTGGCGCTACATGTTATGTCAGACTTGGCAAGAACACATTAAGTAGCAGGGACTCTGCTTTTCACACCTCATGATTACCAAGGTACTGGAAAGATCGAGGACAGGTAAGCAAATTAATACACATACACACAGAAATAAAATAATGAAGAATAAGTTCCTTAAATGTCTTAGAAAGGGACATAATATGGTAGTTAAAATCTTTTTGTTCCTGGAAATACTGTAAATTTTCCATTCACCATCTGAAAGACATTATAGTTACTTCTAATTTACCCCCCAGCCCTTTTTCTGGCAGGGAGGGGAGGGGAGATTTGGGCCACACCTGACAGTGCATAGGGCTTATTCCTGGCTCTGCACTTAGGGACCATTGCTGGCAGGGCTTGGAGATCATATTTGGTGCTGGGGATTGAAACCAGGCTGGCTGTGAACAAGGCAAGCACCTTGCTGCTGTACTATTCATCTAGCCCCAGCTACTTCTAATTTTTGGCAGTTATCAATAAATTTGCTACAGAAGCTCTGTGCATATACCAATAAGCCAAATGCCAGATCATATATTATTACTTTGGTAAGCAAAAATAATAGTATGACATAAAGTATGAAACAAATAGTATGCTCTAAATACTAGGGCATTCAACCACTGTAGTTAGTTACTATATATTAAAATAAATTTTAATAATTTTATAAGACTATGAAGTTATCAGAACATTTCTTTTCTATTTTTTTTGCTTTTTGGGTCACACCTGGTGATGCTCAGGGATTACTCCTGGCAGTGCTCAGGGGACCACATGGGATATTGGGGATCGAACCCAGGTCAGACACATGCAAAGATCCTACCCACTGTACTATCGCTCCAGCCCAGAACATTTCTACTATAGCAAAATTTCTTCCTTCTAACCTCAACTTCAAGCTGTATTTATTGTCCTTTCTGAAATTTTTATACAATTCAAATCATTCAATATGTGCTCCTTATTTCATGATATTAAAAAAAACACCTTTTAAAGAGAGAATTGTTGTAATATACATGAAGATATTTAGGGCTTTCTTTAATATAAGGGCAGGAGAAAATGGGATGGTTTAGACAAGAGAAGTCTGGCCATGAGCTCACTAAACTGGTGAGGGGTTCAAGGTATTTAATAAACTGTCTATTCTCCTTTTAACTTAGTTTTTTAAACTGCTTTATGGAAATTTGTAATATAGAGTTGCCTCCTATAGTTCACAAAGCAATTTCTAGCACAGCAGTACCCAAAACATAAAGGGCTTAATGGTAGCAGTTGCAGTTTATCCCAGTACAACTTCTAAATAAGATGGGAATTACTTACATGACAGGCCACCAAAGCTCCTGTGTTCCAGCCAATCAGGATAATGGGTTTGTGGGGAAAATGGCTGTGAATCTTGTGGGAAAAGAAAGAATTCAGTGAGACAGGAGGCCATACATGGGTACAGAACATGCCTGGAATGCCAGGTATGCCACAGAGAACTGAAAGGAGCTTTCTCACCTCTAGTACTTTGCTCCTCACAGCCCCAATCATGTGCTCAAGACACTGCAGCACTCCGACCCCACTACCATTGTTCAGTAGATGGGTGGCCACTGGGATGACCTAAAGGAAAGAGAATTGTAGCCAGGCAAGCAGAGTTTAAGTTTCAAAGTCTCTTTCACCTATGTCCATCCAAGTTAAATCCCTTTGGCCTTGCATAAGAAGCAACTGAATTAATGAGAGAGAGAGAGAGAGAGAGAGAGAGAGAGAGAGAGAGAGAGAGAGAGAGAGAGAGAAGATTCTCCAAATTTATTTTGGCTTTATTCTGCCTTTTGTCTGAATAATTCTCCAAGACTATATTCCCACCAAGAAGACCCTTCTTGCTCCCCAATCATACCTTGCCTAAGCAGGAGAGCTGAGACTGCCAGAAACGGTGGCGGCGTGAGGTGGGAAACACGGAGCTGGAGGGTCCAGAGGAGGCAATGATGATGAGCGGCGAGCCAGGGAGTTTGCTCTAAGGAGACAGAGCCAGTGAGTGAGAAGTCTTCTGCCATGAAACCTCAAGTATCCTGATAAAAACCTCTTTCCAACCAATTCTAGCTTGCTTATTCAACTATGCTATGCACTATATATAATCAATTAATAAATATATATATATTAAATAAGCATTCACAAGCCTCAGGAGTCTAAGATTGAATTTTAAACATTTCTCGAGCTACAGCTGTGTCCTGAGCAGACTGACTTACAGGTTTGTTATGAGAAAGCACCCCAACAGCAGGGTCCCAAGGCCTTTTCAGGAGGAGGGACAAAGCTTCTGCTCCAGCAGCTCCAGTTTTCGTATTGGATGACACAAGCATTCGGTCAATCAAGGTAGGGATCTAGAAGAAAGGAGAGCAAAGGTATTGCTGGCAGAAGTAGGAGGCTGCCTCCAAGAGATCAAGCAGGAGAACAGAGCTCCACTAGGACCCACAGAGACTTTTCTCAGGAGCAAAAGTTCGAGTTAGTGGTAGCTGTAAAGTATGCTGCCTCTCATCACAACAGGTAAACAGCTAGAATCCTTTGGAAAGCATTAAGATGATACATCAAAAGACTTAACTGTATTGCTATCCTTTTTCCAAAGGATTCTATTTTTGAGAACTTTTCCTAATAAAACTTATCAAAAATATGGCACATACTCATACTTTGGAGAGGGGAAGAGGGGAAGATTAAGCATGCAACAAAGGCACTCTCAATACAAAAAAAGAGAAAAAGACAATTTAAACATGTGCATATAAAGAAATGGTCAAGCAAATTATTTACATAGCTATATTGTGAGGATTAATTTTAAATATTTAAGTAGTCAGCGGCGATGGCTCAGTGCTAGAACAACTGCCCTGCATGAGTGTTAGATGCATGAGGGCATGAGTGTTAGATCTGGCACCATCACACATAGATGAGTATGATCCTTAGCTGTGTCAGTCTGACCTACGGAGCTGCTGCAGCCAAGTGCGCAAGTACTGCAATGAGATCTGTAACCCTAGCTCACAACAATAATGAAGGGAAAGGAAGGGGAAATATTCTAAAGAGGGACCAGGGATGTGACTCAAGTGGTAGAAGCACATGCCTACTATGTGAGGGGCCTTGAATTTGATCCTTGAAACCACATGCCCCGCACCACCCCAGTACCTCTTTGTTCAGTTCATACTAGGGCTTAATCCTGGCTCTGTGCTTAGGGTTCACTCATGGCAATCCTCAGGGGACTACATTTGGTGCTGGGGATTGAACCAGATCTGCTGCATGCAAGGCAATTGTCTTTACCTCTGTGCTGTCTCTCTGGCCCTAGAATGTGGCTCTTTTAAATAATTTTTGTTTTGTTTTGTGAGTGGGGGAGGGGCCCATACCCAGCTGTGCTTAGGAATTATTCCTGGCCAAAGCTCCAGGGACCATATGCACTGTCGGGGTATTCAGCCCTGCCCAGCTGCCATGCAAGGCAAGTGCCTACTCACTGTACTATCTCTAAGACCCTCATTTTAAAGAATTTGTAAGCACTCCACTCTGGAGATACATGCATCTAAGTGCACAATCTTCTTCTTCGGGCCTTTCTTCTACCTGGAAGAATTCCACATTTTCCTTAGAATCAGTATCTCCTTCAACAAAATTATATTGTGTCATTAAATAATTTGGAGGCTAGAGAGGTTGTACAGAGGGATTAAGTTGCTTGCGTTGCATGTGGGCAATCCCAGTTTGACCCCCAAACAATGCTGGGAGAGATCCCCAAGGAGAGGGAGGAACACCCTCAACAATGCTGCGTGTGGCTCAATATCCCGCTCCCCTCAATTCTGAAAGACTTCTGATAACACAGAGAAATAATATTGCTAAAATGTCCAACCTAATACAGTAAATTTCAGTTATTTGTATTCAGTAATAATGTAACCACTATACCTAAACTGATCTTTATGGAGTTATAAGGGACTTTTTTGCTTTATAATTCTGTATTTTCTAAACTTCATCAATGAACATCAGGTGGCTAAGAATTTTAAAAACACATTTTCTTCTTGTGCAACACCTTTAAGCAGCAACATGTTTTTTTTTTTTTTAAATCTATCATTGAGGCTGAAGTGATAATACAGAAGGCAGGGTGCTTGCCTTGCACATGCCAACATGGTTCAATCCCTGGCACCCCGTATGGTCTCCAGCCCCGCCAGGAGTGATTCTTGAGCAGAGAGCCAGAAGTCAGCCCTGAGCACTGCCACTAGTCACTTCCTGGGCCTCTCTTCAAAGGAAGCAGAAGTAGTAGTCTGGGACTATCTTTTCATCTGTTTTTTTTTCCCCCCCATTAGGAAACCAGATCCTACAGAGAAGAGAGCATTTCTGTTATGGTCATCCCAGTGCCTGGCTCATAATAGGTCTAAAATAAATGTCTGTCGAATGAATGTCAAATTTCTGATCATACACATGATTAATGTATCTCTAGATTTAGTTCTATGGTAGCCTCAAATCATTTTTCTTTTGCTTCTGAACAAACTCAGCATCCTTCATCTTAAAAAAATATAAGAAAACAATAAACCTACAAATTAAGGAGACATGTTTGCAGAAAGCTGTTGGCAGCAACCTAGAGAAATGAGAGGCTAGCTTCCTATCACACAAGAAATAGTTTTAGAAATGTCAAGAACTAAAAAAAAAAAGAAATGTCAAAAACTCATTTATAAAAGTTTCAAAAAATATCAAGAACTAAAATAATTAAAATAAAATTTAATTTGTTTTAGACTGCAGGACATTTTGTACTGAAGCAAAATATTGATGGTAACACTGTAATTCTTAACAGAATTCTGGCTTTATTTCCAAAAGTTGTGCTGAGCCTTCTATTCAGATGAGCTAATTTAATTTTTACAAAACTCATAATATAATAGCATTATTTTTAGCAGTGGCAGGAACCAAACTTAGGGCCTTTCACATGCAAAGCATGTATTCTAAAACAGCCATATGCCCTGCCCTTCCCACATTTTAGAGATAAAGAAACTGAAATACTAATCAAAGATAAGCTTATTAATGTTCAATCTGAGATCAGTCAGACAGTTGGCTCCAAAACCCAAACTTCACTAGGTTAGTGTAATAACTAAAATTACAATACTCTGCAATATGAAGTTCAGCTCAGTGCAATATTATTTAAAGAAGGGGAATGCAATGTTATATCTGATGAAGAATTAAGAATTCTAGTCAAGACACTGGATGGAGTACAGCGGTTAGGATGCTTGCCTTACATGCAATTGACCAAGGTGTGATCCCTGGTATCCCTTCAGTTCCCCGGTGTAATTTTTTGGTCACACCCAGCAATTCACAGGGATTATTCCTGGCTCTGCACTCAGGAATTACTCCTGGCGGTGCTCAGAGGACCATATGGGATGCTGGGAATCAAACCCGGGTCAGCCGCGCGCAAAGCAAACACCCTAGCTGCTGCGCTATCACTCCAGCCCTTCCCAGGAGTAATTTCTGAGTGTATAGCCAGGAGTAATCCATGAGCATAACCGAGTGCAGTCCAAAAACCAAATAAATAAAAAATAAATAAAAAGATTAGTCAAATTGTTGCTACTGAAGGCTCACCCTTGAGGAGAGACAGAGGCTACCACACTTCTCTGGTCTGGAAGGATCCTTCTACCCACACCCCACACTTAAGAGCCTCATGAATCTGCTTCACACCCTAAATAACACTCTTCACTGGCAAACTCTTCATCTTCTCCACGATAATTTCTTTATCATCTCATGTCACAGGTGACTCAAGCCACAAGCTGCAAAGCTACAGAGGTGAAAAGGTCCTCGGGCCTTCGGGTTCCATACCACATACTGGAAGCCACAGGGCTACAGATGGTTTGCAGTTAAGAGAAATATGATGACATTATGTCTCAGATTTTTAATAGCAAAACTCATTAGCTTCAATCACGCCCTCCAGGCTAACCAGGCAATGACCTTGTCAACCCCACTTCCTGAATCCACAGCAGAAGCTGACTTCTCCAGGAAAGGGCGGATGCCAATCACAGCCTTACCTTCCCTTTCAGTGTCTGCAAAGCATCCAGGTAGGCTGCCAGCATAGGCAGACTCAAAGTCTCCACCAGGGAGGTGTGTAGCCACTGGATCAGCTTTGTGTCCCAGCTCACACTTGCCAGGGCCTGTCGCACTCTCCTTGCACACTTGTCCACAGCAACTCGGCGTAGCACTGGCTCATTGCAAGCCTAAGAAACAGGATAAAACTTGAGGATCATCTTGTTAGCACTGGGAGTTAAAGGGGCTCACAAGTGAGCCAGCAACTGAGGCTTGAATTAGGGAGAGGCCACTGTGGACAGATTTCTGGAATCTTACCCCTTCGTTGGCCAAGCGGGCAAGCCGATCAGACTGCAAGGCTTTAAGAATCTTGTTGAATAATTTGTTCTGGGCCATAGTCCAGCCAGTTCTGTAAGAGAAATTGAGGAATTAAAGCCAAAACTTTGGGTCACTCTATAAAGGCATATACATTGCATAAAGAATATGCCCTATTTTTGTCCCCACTATGAGAAAATAATTTGCAGTAACTTAGTCTAAGATCACTCATTAAACTAAACCATGAGACCTAGAGTCTGGTCCCAGTCCTGCTCACGAATTATTGTAGCATACATTAGCAATGACATCACACAGAAAATAAAACTCAATCACAAATGCCTTTATGGGTTTTGAATTTTTTTTTTGGTTAGGGGGGGACATAAGAGGGGATCCCATGCAATACTTAAGGGGCTTGGGGCTGCATGCGCCCTAAGATGCAGGGGTCAAAATCAGGGTCCTAGCTATACACTCTAGTTCTTTGACCTATTTCCCCAGTCCCTCAAAACCTTTTTAAAAAGTAATAGTAAAGCTAATTATTTTATTAGCAGCTAAAGTAATCCCATTAGTAAATGGGCAACACCACTACAAAGGCATATTTGAGTTTAACCAACTGCAATATTTCACACAAAAAGGCAAACAGATGGGCAAGCATTTTAATAGACTAAATCTTTAATCTAGGAGGCCTCTTTAAATTAACTTTAGAAACAAAAACATAACAAATGTTTATTCCTTCCCCATCCCTCACACACCCAATAATCCATCCCACTCACCTTTCCCATATATATTATTATTAATTTTTTTGATATTGCAACTATACCCAGCAGTGCTCAGTGGCTACTCCTAACAGTGCTTGAAGAACCAGGAGCTGTTGGGGTTTAAACCCAGGGCTCCCACGTGAAAAGCACGAGCTCCAGCCCTCTGAGCTATTCCCCAGCCTTCCCATGTGAATTTTTTTATGTTCTTTCTATATATCACATGTGTTTTTTTTTGTTTTTGTTTTTTTTTTTTTACTGTTGCCAATTTACTTATTTTTTTTTCTTTTTTTTTTTCCCCCTTTATTTTATTTTATTTTTTTTAAAGTTGTAGATTTACAATTTTTTGTGCTTTGGTTTCAATTATACAATGATCAGATACCCATCCCTCCACCAGTGCCCATTTTCCACCACCATGGATAATATCCCTCCCACCCCCATCCCCCCATCCCCCCGTCTCTGTGGCAGGGCAATCCCCTGTGTTCTCTCTCTCCTTTTGGGTGTTGTGGTCTGCAAAAGAGGCATTGAGTGGCAAACATGTTCAGTCCATAGTCTACTTTCGACATGCATCTCCCCTCCTGGGAGGATCCTCCAAACATCCTTTATTTGGTGCTCCCTTCTCTATCTGAATAGCCCTTTCCTCTAGGATACCCGGCTGGCCTCTAAGTTATGGAGTAATCCTCCTGGTGCTGATCTCAGCTATTCTTGGGTATTAATCTCATACTTTGTTACTTTATATCCCCCAGATGAATGCAATCTTTCTATGTCTATCCCTCTCTTTCTGACTCATTTCGCTTAGCATGATACTTTCCATATTGTACCACTTGTATGTAAATTTCATGACTTCATCTTTTCTAAGAGCTACATAGTACTCCATTCACATGTGTTTTTGAATACTCTGCTATGTGCAAGTTAACGTTTTATTATTCAGAATATAAGACTGGCAAACAGACTTCCAACTGGTTTATCTATGCTTTATAAGGATGCCTCCAACTAAGCTGTAAATAAACTGTAATTAGAAACCTATCCTACTGATCTTACCCCCACCTTATCACACCCAGAAGAGCTGTGAGCATGAAGATCCCCCTCCACCATTCTTCTGTGACGTTAATTACTTTGGCAGTTCAACTCAAATCAATAATCTTCCTAAGGGTACTAAAGAAAGGGAACAGAAGCTATGTAAGTCTTTTACCAAACTCTTCCTTCCATAAAATAAACTAGTAATTGCTTTTTAAAAAGTGCCAGACTCTAAGGGCTAGAGAGATAGTAGAGCATACAGGGCACTTGTCTTGCATGCATCTAGCAGGATGCATGATCCCCAAGAGCCCACATGATCCCATGAGCCTGAGCACTGAACCAGGAGTAAGCCCTGAGCACCACCAAGAGTGGCTTAAAAACAAAGTCTTCTTTTCCTTATCACTTCACTTCTTAATCACTTAACTTCCCGTTAGTCGTTGATTTGCTCGAGCGGGCGCCAGAAACGTCTCCATTTGTCCCTGTTGCGTGCTAGTGTAGCCCAATGGCATCTGTTCGCTCCGGGAACATGAAGAGCCTCAAACCGATCGTTCGTGATCTTGACGAAGAAGTCTGACCATCTGGTAGGTGGGCGGCCACGCGGTCTTTTGACATCCCGTGGAATCCAGTCGGTAACAGCTCTAGTCCAGCGTTCGTCTTTAAATCTCATTACGTGAGCAGCCCATCTGATTTTCGACACCTTGGCATATGAGACAGCGTCCCTGATCCTTGATCGTCGACGGATGTCAGAACTCCGGATTGGTTCTCTCATTTGAGTGAAACGTGATATTCCAAGCATAGCTCTTTCTATTCTTCTTTGGGAGACCTGAATAGCATTCTCATCCTGTTTGCGTAGGGCCCAGGTCTCTGAGGCATATGTTAATGCAGGAAGAACAGTGGAATCAAAGAGATGTGCCCGGAGCCGGAGGTTCTTCGTCCTCTTAGCTATTTCTTTTCCTTAATACACAGTATTTAAATACACAGTACTGAAGAAAGTTCAATGGGCTGAAACTCATACTCTGCTATGTGGGAGGCCCAGGTTCAATCCCAGGCACTATATGGTCCCCCCATAAGCACTGCCACGAGCAAGCACCAAACCGGGAGAACACTAAAAACTGTAAGCACTGCTGGATGTGGCCCCCCAAACTATATGTATATAAAACGTATTCACAGGAGCTACAGTTCTCCTGTATAGTAATTCTCTGGTGGGCTTGAGTGAGAGACAAAGGATATTCATTCACAGGTAATTTTTACTTTTTATTTTTGGCTTTGATGCCACATATGGTAATACTCATTGCTTCTCGTGAGCTCATGGAACTATATGTGGTGCCAGGGACTGAACCCAATTAGTCGCATGTAATGCAAGTCCCTAACCCAGTGTACTAGCTCTCTAGCCCCAATACAAGTAATTCAAGAAGTACACAGATCTATTTCCCTATTCATACAACTCTTTGCTTTTAACTGCTAAGTCAATTACACGGGTGGGTATTCAGGTTTTATCTCTTATTATTATCACTAGTTACAGTGACCATCTCTTCTTTCCCCACCAGAACATATAACTAGGCACAACCCTCTTTTATCTATCTCCCTGTGCTCTATCTACATCAGAAGTTTCCAAACTTAACTGGCCTACCACCCTCTTTTCAGGAAAGAAAAGGAAAAAAATAAAAACAATCACTCTCCCCTGGAAATCCGCCTTATTTAAGCAAACAGAAAGTGCTTCCCCACCTCCACCGCACCCAAAACTACCATCTCCGCTTCCCTGGATCAGTCCAGCATTGACAGGGGAGGTAGCATCATCTATGCTGGGAAACAGTAACACACATCTTGAAATGGTCAGGTAAGGACCTATGAAATAGTTCAAAGGGCTGGAGCACACGGGAAGCCCACCTACTCCTAAGCACTGCCAGTAGCACTGAGTACTGCCATAAACGCACCTGAGTACTGCTGGGTGTGTGATCCAAGAACAAAATACCGAAAGAGTCAGAAAAGCATCTCTGTGGGATAAATTTCTTGAAATGGGAATAAAGTGTCAAAGGCTAAAGTTATCAAGCTCCCAGTTCTGTGAAAATAATACAACTTGACCTTACCCATGGCAACAACGCTTGTTAATAATTAAACAGGTGAAGCAACATTTTAGATTGAACACCCTTGATCTTTCTTAGTCTACTGATAATGGTGCAAATTTTGATTCTAAGAATACAGTATAAAACATAATTCATTTCACCATCAGCATCATCAGAGTAAAGCACCATCAACATTTCCAAAATTATCCACTTATTACATAACAGACTGTTTTCTTTGTTTCTTACTCTGTACTTATTCTGAAACAAAATGACAGGAGCAAGAAAAATGATGTGAACCAAGTGGGAGGGGGGCTAGAAAGCTATTTGAAAATTACTATGGTATACCAATGGCAGCTGGAATTAAATTGAAAAAAAAAAAAAACACTGTTGAGAGTCTAAAAATCAAAAAAACAAAGGTTCTTTGGACTGTTGGCTGGGTACATAGCAAAGTGATTCTAAGAACTGAAGTATGTTCTATTTTGTCAGCTTCGTGGGAGGCTGGAAAATTAAGTGGGCAGGAAAGAAAGTGATCTAACCCAAGATTAAGATAAAGAGCATGTAAAAGATATAATTAAGGAAAAATTTAAAACCAGGAGCCAATTTTATATACAAGTCTAAACAGTCAAAGGGCAATGGGAACTGTGGTGAGTCAACACAATCCCCTCCCCACCTACACCTATTCAATTTTCATGAGTGCAAAAATGTCTTTTCTTTATTCTTGGATGAAGATGAGATCATCTTATGGTCCTTATGTTGTGACTAAATCTGAATTATATCTTTTTTTTAAAAGCAAAATAAAAAACTGACAGGTGCCACATCTAGCAATACCCTGCCCAGCAGTGTGGGCCTAGTGGTGGGTGGGTATTCAGGCCCACAGTGCATTGCCAGGACCTGCAGTGTAGTAAAAGCCTGTTATTTTCAAGGAAAAGTACTCTTTTTCTAAGACCTCTTCATGGGAGACTAACTCAATCATTTACTGTCGAAAGTGCTTAAAAATTAGAGTTCAAGCAGAGATACAAGAACATTAGTGAGAATAAATAGGACACACTTTTCCTATTCAATTCTTTGTTTAAATACCAGGAGAGGGGCTATAGAGAGAGCATAGGGGCTAAGGCACTTGCCCTGCACATGGCTAATCCCAGTTTGAATCCCCAGCACTGAATATGGCTCCCCAACCACCAGGAATGATCCCTGAGCGCAGAGCCAGGAATAAGTTTTGAACACCAAAATTTTTTATCTTGGTGCTCCACAGGCACAAAAGCATAATCCCAACAGTAACGTTGCTATCTGGTTGTTTGGTTTTGTTTCTGGGTCACAGTAGCATACTTCTGAGGGTCACTCCTAGAAGCCCTCAGGGGTGCCAGGAATTAAACCTGGTCAGCTGCCTGCAAAGCAAGTGCCTTACCTGCTATTCTATCTCTCCAGCCCCAACATTGCTAGTTGGGATCCCTGGCACCACAACCAACTGTGTGTGATCTCCAGTGCACCACAAACAAGTGTGTGCAAGTACAATCAAGTGTATATGACCTCCACAACCCAGTTGTATACAGATGCCCCTGCTCCCCAGCCCACCACACACTACCAATAACAAAGGGAAATGAAGAATTTTTAAAATGTAAAAAGAAAAAAAAATCACTAGGAGATAAGCCTAGATATGTGGCTCAGTGACAGAGCACATGTCCTGTATGCATAAAGCCTGAGTCTATCCTGGACATAAATCACCGAGCATGACCTGCAACCAAGTGTGAGAGTATCACAATCAGTGTGAGAGCAACCCGCAGCAGTCAAGTGTGCAAGCCCTGGACACCACAAGATGGCAAAAGAAAACCTTAAGGAAAGGATGAATGAATATAGAATTTAAAAAAAAAAACCCAACTATGAATAGAAGTGGGGAAGAGGGAATAACAACTGAAAGATCTTAGATCGAAAATCTCAAAACATTCAATTTCACATAAAGATACACATAATACTGAAAGATAATTAAAGGACAGTATGGCAGGTAGGGCTCTTGCCTTGCACATTATCGACACGGATTTAATCCCCAGCACCACATATGGCTCCCCACAAGTGTGTGTCTGTGCTCAGGGGTCACTCTTGGCAGGTGCTTGGGGGACCATATGTGATGCCAAAGATTAAACCTGGGTCAGCCACATGTAATGTTAGGCTCCTTACATATTACATTATCTCTTCAGTCCTTTTACATGTCTTTTGATTTTATTTTCCCTTTTTTTTGGTTTATTTTCTGTCTTGGAGCCATCCCTATGGTGCTCTGGGGTGTTAGCAGCAGTACTGAGGATAGAATCTAAGGCTCTTACAGGCAAACTAAGCACTCTGGTCCTCTCCCACACATCATCTCGCAGATGCTGACTTTATTTTTCGGTTACAAAAACAAAACCTTTTTTAGAACAAATGCCATATAAAAACAAAAGGCCAAAGCTGGTACATGAGCTATAGTTATCAACAGTCAATTTCTCTAAAAATTGGAGCGGGGGTGGGGGTGGGGGGTAGGGGGGGAGGAGAGAGAAATAACACAGCAAGTAGGGTAGGGTGCTTGACTTGCACTTGACTAACCGAGGTTAGATTCCTGGCACACTATTTGGTTCCCTGAGCATCACCTGGAGTAATCAATGAGTGCAGAGCCAGGAGTAACTTCTGAGCATTCTGGGCATGACCCAAAAACAAAGGAAAAAAAGGGGTTTGTGTGATGGTGGGATGGGGTGAAAGGACCAAACCTGGTGGGGATTAGGACTTACTCCTTGCTCTGTGCTTTGGGATCACTTCTGGCAGGGCTTGAGGTTCAGGCATCTAACCAGGGTCAGCTGTCTCCAGACCCAACATTAAAATTTTAATTAGACAGAGAAGGATATTTAAATTATCAGGAGCTTGGGGCTATGGCTAAGTATCTACCCTGAGTGCAAGAGATCACTGTGCTTAATTCCTGGCACCACCCCATAAGCAAGAGTGATCCCTTGGACACTGTCATCTGGGATCTCTGATGTCATAACAAAGTGGTAACACAACCAAAAGCATGTGAGCACTACAATAAAAGTGTGTGTGCACAATTAAATCATACAATTCCCGGCAAGCATTGCAACCATGACTGTAAGCCTTGAAACAAGTGTGTGATCTCCCAGTTATGCTGTGTTTCAAAAAATTTCTGACATTACTAGACAAAGTGAGAATCGTTTGGATGAGGTTTTTTTTCTACACACAGCAAATTATCAAAAATAACTCAAGAAGGTAATGAAAGGTACAAAGAAAGTTGTTTCTAACTCCACTGATCAGTAAGCTCTCCAAAAATAAAACAGATTTCTAGGGAGCTAATCTCAAGTTTCTTCATGAGTTCTTCATGTGGGAAACTGTAATTTTACATGATTTTATACAGGAAGAAAGCAAGCTGCAATTTAACAATCAAGACAAGGGAAAGAATGCAACAATATGATTATAATCAGAGCATAGGATATTGCAAGCTCCAAACAGTTTACAGCTTCAGAATTCTAGGACCAGATCATAAAATAGTGACCTCTGAGATGGAAGCCAGTTAGTATCCCAAATACTAAAAAGAGCTAAGTTACCTCTAAAATCTCATTAGGTGTTAAAAAACCATCTCTGAGTTAAAGTAAATACTAATTAGTTATATCTGCCAATATGTGGCAATGTCATAACGGGATAGAAGCCCACATGAGAAGACACAAACAAAAAGGTAGAATTTGGCAGTGTTTCTCTGCAGGATGAGACAGTTGAAGGTGTGCCCTGGTCTACTAAGTCAGTCAGCCCTGCCTTGAGGAAAGCTGAGTGCATCCAACTACTCTAAATAAAAAGGAATCTTTCTACTTGCTTTCCACTCTGGCAAAAAAAAAAATGTCTTCTCAGACTTTCCTACTTGAGGAGAGGGGGAGGTGGGACTGTCTGAGATAGTACTGTAGTTAAAACACTCATCTTACATTCTACCAGCCCTGGTTTAAATCCCTAGCACTTGGCTGGAATCACCAGCGCCATATATGGTTCCCAAACACCACCAGTGGCCCACCACTCCAAAGCACAGAGCCAGGAATAGCTGGAGCACTGCTAGGTGTTGCATAAAAATGTATCAACAGACATTTCTACTAGAAATGAAGAATCTGATACTGTCACTCGAGTATCTCATATGCCTTGTAACTACAGCCCCTAAAAGCTGCGTTCCTATGTACTATTCATTCTGGCTTTGATAAGCACAAGAAATCCCAAAAAACAAACTGGTCAAAACCATGAGTAAACTGATAAAATATTAAATTCTCCCATGCAGTTTGAGAAATTGCAAATGGAGAACAAAATTAATGGTAAAACCACAACAAAACACATAATCCTATAAGGCCACTTTGTGAAAAATTTTTTTTTCTTTTTGGTTATTGGGCCACACAAGGGAGTGCTCCGAACTTACTCCTGGCTCCTCGAGGATCATTCCTGGTGGAGCAGGGGTGCCATGGATCAAACCTAGGTCAGGACTGTGCAAGCAAGTGCCCTACCTGCTATACTATCTCTCTCTCCAGACCCTCTCTTTTTACTATCTTTAAAGAGAGGGCACATGGGGCCAGTGAAATAATACAGTAGGAAGGGACCTTACCTGCACACCACTTACCCTGGTTTAATCCCCGGAACCCCGTATGGTCCAGAAGCCCTGCCAGGAGTAAACCCTGAGCGCCGCTGACTATGGCCCAAAACCAAAAAAGTAACTAGAGGGTACAGAGAGAATGCACAGAGTACTTGGCACAATGCCAGGCATCTAGAAAGCACTCACCAAAGGGTAGTTTTATTTTTGTTAGTAATGCAATCGCTACAATTTATTATTAATAGCAACAATGCAGCTGTTTGCCAAATTCATCTATTCCAGTAGCTGATCTTCATTCACAACAGTTTTCCTTTTAAGTAGAAATTCGAGAAGATGTCCCATTAGGTTATTACAAGAATTCCAATCCCAGAGGCCAAACAACTCTTTACAGCTCTTCAACCAACAGGCAGAAATGCTCCTCTTCAATTCTGACTTCACATAGCATACCTGCTTAATCTCATTTAGCTTCTGACTTGACTCACAATCTTGAATTTGCCTCACACTTACTACCCAGTTAGCACTTTCTCTTCATTATATATAAGAGCTCTTGGACAATGTAGCAAGTTTACCACCTATGAACTCTAGAAGTACTTTAACAATATCCTTTGATGCAGTAACAAAATATAGTGAGCCTTCAGGGAAATTAAAATCATAAGAGATGTCACTTCAGAATGGTAATAACAGTAGCAATGAAAGGTCAGATAAAAAGTATTTCCAAGAATATGGTGGAATTAGAACTCTCATATGCTAGTAGTGTGAACATAAAATGATGGAGTCCTTCCAGATGAAGTCTGGAAATTCCTCAAAATTTAAATATTAAGTTATCAGAGACCCAACAATTCCACACCTAGGTAATATATACATACAAATAAAGACATGTCCACACAAAAACCATGAGGTAAGAGAGATAGTATGAGGGTTAAGCGTTCGTCTTGCTTGTCGCATACTCTGCCTTGATCCCTGACACTGTACACGGTTCCCCAAGCACTGCCAGGAGTGATCCCTGAGCACAGAGCCAGCAGTAAGCCCTGAAAACCCCAAAAAAACTAAACACAAAAGCCAAGTACATAGGTATTCTTAGGGGCATTACTGTAATACCTGAAACACGTTAGCATTCAATGTCCATCAACAGACAAATAGATAAACAAAATGAAGAATACCTATACAACCAGAGTATCATCCAGCAATACACAGTACTAATGCGTGCTACAACACAGACAACCCTCAAAAACAAAGCTACACGAAGGGACCAATCATAAGACCACATATTATATAAAACATCCTGAAGAGATTGTTCATTTATTTTTGGCCATGACTGTGATTCACATATGCAATGCCGACACGCTTTCACTGAGCAACATCTCAGATCAAGAGGAGGCAAATTTAGAAAAACAAAGTGGTAGCAGACTTCATGGCTTGGAGAAATGGGAAGTGACTACTAAAAGGGGATAGTTTCTTTTTGAGGTGATAAAATGTTTATCAAACTGGGGCCAGAATGATAGTACACTGATAGGGCATTTGCCTTGCACGCAGCCAACCTGAGTTCAATCCCTGCCACCCCACATGGCTCCTTGAGCCCACCAGGAGTGACCATGATGATTCAAAATAATTTGTGTGGTGCCATCAGCCCTTCAGTGACCAGTCCTTAGGAGAAGTGGCCTACCTGTTGACGTGCTCCTCCCAGTCCTCTGGTGGGGGAGGGGCATCCGCATCAGTCCTGGCAAAGATGACGTGCCGTTCACACTCATTCATCACACTTCGTGCCTTCTGATTGTCATAAAGTGGCACAGGTGTTGATGTGACTGTCTCCACATCTATTGGAACATCTGATTCACTGAAAAAAGGTGGGGAAATAGGACCAGATCACATGAATACAGGTTTTCACACAAGTGCTTTCTTTTGCTCTAATTTTTTTAATGTTTGTTATGGGGCCACACCCAGCGATGCTCAGGAAATACTCCTGAAGGTATTCGGAGTATCATACGGGATGTAGGGGATTGAACCCAGGTTGGCCACATGCAAGGCCTTACCCTCTGCACTATCACTTCGGTCTCTTTTCACAAGAATGTTTAATAACAAGAAAAATAATCTGGTTGCCAAATTAGGCTATTAAACAGTCTTAAAGTCTACCTGAGCACATTATGTTCACAGACATTTTTGATCCAGTCTTCTTTACCACAGTACCTAAACCTTCATTCTCTGATATGCTAATATGTGCCGGTGGAAAACCAAGTCATTTATATGAGCCTATGCAAAAAATGAGTTTTCCCACAGCACTCAAAAAGAGAGAGATAACTAAAGGGAATGCCCTGCCACAGAGGTAGGGTAGGATGGGGGGAGGGAGGGATACTGGGACTGGTGGTGGTGGTGAATGGACACTGGAGGAGGGATGGGTATTTGATCATTGTATAACTGAAACCCAAGCACAAAAATTTTTAAGTCTACAACTGTTCCTCATGGTATTTCACTAATAAAAATTTAAGAAAAAAATGACATTGAAATAGAGGGAAAAAAAAATGAGTTTTCTTTTGTGTTGCTGTTTTTTTGAGCCACACCCAACAGTACTTAAGACTTATTCCTGGCTCTGCACTCACAGATCATTCCTGGTAGTACTGGGTTAAACTATGTCAGGATCAAATCAAGATCAGCCATAAGCAAGGTTTATCCACTATACTATCCCCCTAGCTCAACAGTTAAATTTCCCTTAAAAAAAAAAAACAACAAAAAAGCCCTAAAAAACAACCAAGTATGTTCCATAAGCAAACAACTGATTGTCTCAACATATTTTCTAATATAATGACAAAAAAATACTCCCCCCAATGAGAATAAAATAAAATGCATTTTATGTGTTTAAAACACACAACATGATACCTCTAGATAAGATTTAATGACAGGAACTAAAAGATAAGGCCTCTATTCTCTAATAAACCTAAAACCTGTGCTATTAGGTCAGATTAAAAGAAAACTACTGGGATGTGAGAGCGATAGAACAGTGAAGGGGACATTTGCCTTACATGCAGCTGACTCGGGTTCTATCCCTGGCATCCCATATAGTCCCCTTTTAATCTGACATTAGATCAGATTAAAAGAGATATCCTGGGGCCAGAGGGATAGTACAGTGGTAGGAGGAAGTTTGCCTTGCACCTTGCATCCTTGTTTGATCCCCAATACTACATAGTCTCCCAAGCCTGGCAGGAGTTAAGTCCTGAGCATTGCCAAGTGTGCCCCCTCCACCCCCCAAAAACCATATAAAGAAAAATCTCCAAAAAAAGTATCTAGACACAATTTCATCATCAAACTAGATTATAGCAACAGATCTTTAAATAATTAAAACACATTAAAGTGAAAATGAACTGTCACTCTAGCTCAATTCTAACTACCACATACAAAATAAATTTAGAAGAAATTTCTTACCCTACCATACTGACCCTCTGAAAGCATGATTAAATCTACAAAGATTTTAGGTCAACTGCTGGGTGACAGCTGTAACTCAGAGAGAAAGCAAAGTCTTGGTAATATGCTCCTAAACTCTGCAAGGCAGGAAAAACAAAACTATTGCAATAAGGTTGCTGTTAGCACTATTGGGACATGCCAGAACCCCATCTAAATAGAATAAATGACCTTTTTTGTTGTTTGGTTTTGGGCCACACCTGGCAGTAGTTAGAGCTCACTCCCTGGTGGTGGGGATCAAATCAGAGTCAAAGTGCAAGGCAAGAGCCCTACCTGTTGTACTATTACTCTGGCCCCAGAACAAATGAGCTCGCAGCAATTAAAAAATTTCAACTCTCAGGGCTGGAGAGATAGCACAGCGGATAGGGTGTTTGCCTTGCACGTGGCCAACCCCGGGTTCGATTCCCAGTATCCCATATGGTCCCCTGAGCACCGCCAGGAGTAACTCCTGAGTGCAGAGCCAGGAGTAACCCCTGTGCATCGCCAGGTGTGACCCAAAAAGCAAACAACAATAAAAAAAATTTTAACTCTCCACTTAGGGATCACATCCTGAGGTGCTGGGGGTGTGGAGGGAAGGTAATGGGGCATGCTAGGCATGTGCATAGGTCTACCACTCTACCATCTGAGGTACATTCCTGGCCCTTAAAAAAAAAATCAACACTCTAGCCTTTTTATTTTCTTTTCCTTTTTGGGAAGAGTGGAAGGGAACACCAGATGATGCTCAATGCTAAAGGAACCAAGTACTGCCAGGGATGGAGCCAGGAAATGAACCTCGGCTTACAGAAAACAAAACATGAAATATCTCCACCCCACCCCACCCTTTACTTCAACAGTTAAAAAAAAAAAATCTACTTCTTTCTAGAGACATAACAGAGTAGGGAAGGTGCTAACCTTGCATGTGATCCCTGGCATTACATATAGTCCCATGAGCACTGCCAGGAGCAAGCTTTTGGTATTTTGTGGCCCAAATACCAAAAGCAAACGGTCCTCTTCTAGCTGGACACGTGGTTTAATGGGACAGCATATGCCTAGCATGTGTGAGACCCTGGGTTTGATCACTGGCACTACAATAAAGGAAGGGTGGGGACTAGGTTTTCCCCTTGAAATCGTATTATCTAAGTGGATTAGGTTGTTTTCCTTCTTTGCTCGTTAGATGTCCTGAATTCAGGGGTGTACACACAGGCCTGATATCCTCCAGTCCCCTAAACTCTCCCACACTAAAATCCTAACATTCCACTCCCCACCCCTATCCCTTGCAAGCTCTTGCCCTCCAGCCTCCCGTAAGACCTAAAGCCCCGACTCACACGGCACTTTCATGTTGCCTCCGGGGCGTGACAAAGAGCATGCGCGTGGGGCGGGCACTACTGGCATCCGGGTGGGCACTCCACGGCTTGGCATAGCTATGGTCCAGGAAGACCAGGTCCAGTTCCCGCTCGTGCACCGAAAGCTGGAAGAGCAGGGAGGTCCCCATGCGTCTGGCTGACGTCTGGAAGTCCCGCTCCCCACCCCGGTGGGCCATGTCCACAGACAGAGGGTCGGGTCGGCAAGTCAGAGACGAGGCCTCTGCATGCTAGTCACCTGCGGCGAAAAGCGCGAAAGTCAGCGCAAACGGTCTCCTCGTTCTCTGGGCCGGGCGTCCTTCACCCGGTCCCCTTCTAGGTGGGGGTATAACTCGGGACCCGTTAAGACAGCACACGTGCCCCCCACAGAGGCAACGGGGGTGGGCGGCGTCTGCCGAACCGCGAGCGAGGGCGCCCCCCTCACCCGCCTCCCCGAGCAGCGGCTCGGTCCCCTGAGCCGTCGCGCGGCCGACGGCGGGCGCGCCTAACGGAGGGCGCCTCGGGGTGCGGCCCTCGAGGGAGCCAGGCTGGGGGGGGGGGACAGAACGAGCTTTGGGGTCCTCGTGCTAGCACGCGGGAATTCTCTTCACACGCTGCCCGGCGCGCCGGGCACCGGACGCTCGCCCGCACCCGGCAAACCGCCCGCTACCCGGCGGGCCGCGCCGGGGGGCCGGCCCCATCATTCGCACCGACCCGCCGCGCGCTCCCACGACGGGCCAACGTCACCGGGGGTCGGTGACCCCGAAAGAACCGGGAATCGCACCCCCTCCGCCCCGCCCCCGGCCCGGCCCGGCGCCCGCGTCACGGCCGCTCGGTCCCTCCCCGGGCCCTCACCCCCCTCGCCCCGCCCCGCCCCCGGCGCCCGACTCCAGCTCGCGGGCCCCGCCAGCCAGGCTGCCCCCGAGGCCTGGACGGCCGCTCGCCCAGGGCCGCGATCCCCCACCTCCTCCCCGTCACCCCGCCGGGCCGAAAGCGGCTCACCCGCACTCGGAACGCCGCGCGCGCGCTCACGCGCGCACGGGGTGAGCCCGGGCCGGTACGCAGCGCGCGTGCGCGGCACGCAGCAAAAAACGCGGAAGCGGGTTCGTTCCCGGCCGGAAGGGGCGTGAGTCGCAAAACCCGGACCGGATGTGACGGCGCCAGCCGGAACACGCAAGTCTCCGGAAGTTTCCGCCTCCCTGGCCGGACAAAGCCGCCGCCTGGCCCACGTTTCATTGTTGTTCTGTGGAGTGCCGGCTCGGGGCTGGGCGCGAGGTGGGGGCGGAGCTGACTTTAATGTTTCCTTTGCACAGTGAGCAAACGCGTGCCGCTCCGGACCAGTTCCAGAAGGGCTCCAAAAGCGAGCACACGAAACATGAAAATAAGTTTTGAAAGTGGCTTTGAGAGGCCGGGACCGGAGCGGTAGTACAGCGGGTAAGATGGTAGCCTTGCCCGCAGCCGACCCAGCATGCTATATGGTCCCCGAGCACCGCAGTGCAGAGCCGGGAGCAACCCCTGGCATTGTCGGGTGTGGGCCCCTCCCCCCCAAAAAAAACAAATAAATAAAAAGTTGCTTATCTCTGCACCGTATATGGTTCTTTGAACACAGCCAGAACGTGAGCCCGGAGCACCTGCTGGGTGTGGCTCCCAAAGTCAAAAATAGAAAGTTGCTTTGATGGGGCCCGAGAGGTAGTGCAGCGGGTAAGGTGCTTGCCTTGTCCGAAACTGACCTGGGTTTAATTTCTAGCATTTCATACGGTCCCCTGAGCCTGCGGGAGTGATCCCTGAGGAGAGAGCCAGGGTAAACCCTAAGCAAAGTTGGTTGTGTGTCCCTCCCTGACCCCCAATACAGTACTTCATAGCATTGCTGAGAGAATTAAGTGTGTAAGACACCACACCTGGCAAGAACACATCGGTTTCAAGATGCCACTTATTGTTGTGAGTTCAAAATGTGGATCCATGACGCTTGTGTTGGGTGGCCAGAAGCCACCTCCGCAGCCTCCCCTGCAGAGGAACAAAGAGACAGGGACCACATGATGCCGGTGGGCCCCACGGGTGACTTATGTGAAGTGGGGAGGAGAAAGACGTCCACTTTCTCCCACCCTCCTCTGCCACCCGGAACCCTGGGTAGGCTAGGACCAGTAAAGTCTGCAGTGAGCACCTGCTCGGCTCGGGCCTAAGCCCCGCCAGCCCCACAAGGTGGCCGTCAAGCCACACCTGAAGTCCGCTTGATCTTCTCGGCACGGGAGTTAATCCCCGCCACCGATTGCTCGGGGAGCCACGGACTCAAGTTGGGGCGAGAATTCGCTCTTTGCAGGAAAGGAGAGACCAGTCCCAAGCCTTACCCGAGGTCTCTGGGGTTCTTGTCTCGCTCGCAGAAAAGAATTTCAGGCGTAGACGAGCAGTGAAGTAACAGGTTTTATTTGGAGGCTTTTGGAGAGGGAGAGAAAGGGATAAACAGATAAGCGGGGGAATGGAGAGTAAGAGAGAGAGAGTAACGCGTCCAGAGGGAACGCGGGCTTCTCCGAGGGTGGAGAGAGTGCCAAGTGGGCTCTCGAGCTGGTTCTTATAGATCCTTCTGACTCGGAATGTTCTGGAATCTCCTTGGGGCTGTGTCGCTGGAGTTAACTGGATTGAAAGGGGGTTCGAGAATCATCTGACTTGGAATGTCCTGGAATCTCCTTGGGGCTGGGTCACTGGAGTCAACCGGATTGAAAGGGGGGTTCTTGAAAAGGAGGAATTTCATGGGGAGGAGGCCCATATCTTCAGGGTCTGGGAATGGTCTTATCAAGTCCTTATTCTCTGTCTCCACAGGGTGGGTCGGTCCTAGAATTCTTCTATGAGACTTTGTTTCATTGCAGAGAGCCTTTCCCTATCTACCTGCCTACATCACACAGACTGATGGTCAGAACGACCCATTTCATGCAGAGCTGTTAGCATACTTATAGAACGTCTGAAAGGGTTCAAGGTATAGGACCCTAGGTATGATAGATCATTTACAGAGATAAAGCATTTCTTCGGAAGCAATTCTCTTGGAGGGAATTAACTCAAGGAAACACTCTGTCTCCCAGGGACATTTATATTGCTTTCTCTTTCCGTTTAGTTGTATATATTAAACAATTCAGTTTACTTCTTATTAATATTTGCAGTTATTTATATAAACACAGTAAGAGATATAAATTCCAAAACTTAGTTCTCTGGGCTCTAAGGTAAATCCCAGACTAAGTCCTTAGGCAAGTCCAGCTTGTCATTCCTTGTGGAGGTATTGTCCTCAAGTCATAATAGCTTGCATCAAGACCATCCTTGGGGTCGGAGTAGTAGTACAGCAGACAGGGTGTTTACCTCGAATGTGGCTGACCCGGGTTTGTCCCGGGCATCCCACATGGTCCCCCAAGCACAGCCAGGAGTGATTCCTGAGTGCAGAGCTAGGAGGAACCCCTGAGCATCGCTGGCTATGACCCAAAAAAACAAAACAAAAAAAAAAAAGACTATGATTATATGATTTCTAGACTGGCCCATTTTGATGCCAGGGTAGCTTCACTGCTCGCCCTGGGTCCATCCCAGTCCCACAGCCGGACTTCCCTTTTGGGATGTTAGGAACTACAGCAACTGAAGCCTGAGTCTAGTAATTATGATGAATGCCCAGGAGTAGATATATTTCAGAGTTAACGAACTCCCAGATATTAGTGCAGCATTAACGGTCTTTCTGTGTTTAAGCAAAGAACATTGCTCTAGAGTAAAATATGAAAAGGTTATAGGGGAAATAGAAAAGCAAGTAATTCACTACAAATACAAAGTCCAAAAATACCAGAAGTTTTGACTTATAAATAATCAAGACTGATTTGGGGAATGTAACAATGAAAGGTAAAGCACAAAGGAAGGGTTTAAGGTAAATGCAGGGGGCTAGAGGGTGCTCATAATAGCACTGTAAGCTTCTCTGAGAGTTGGAAAAGGGACAATTCACTGATGAAGCCTAAAACACTTAGAATTATTATCCAACCATTGTGAGGGGCCCCAGAGTGTTCTGGAAGAGATTACCTAACCAGATTATTAATGGTGGTTTCTTGAAGGTTTTTTTGAGATTGAGCTGGAGCTCCAGTAGTTCTAGAATTAGAAGCGTTGGTGAGGCCTGTGTAGATGTAGTAAGTGGACCTAAAAGAGCCCAACATATCTATCTTTGGCCTGCACATTACCTTATAAATGTTGCAACATTTTAAACGTAGTTGATTTTATGTAAAGTCCAGCTATCTGGAATCTCTAGAAAACAGAGGCCCTGGCAGCAACCAGGGTCAATTTCCTGAATGCCAGGCATGAAATTTGCATAGTCCCTCACTCTGGCCAGCCTCATTCCACCTTCTCGGCTCCTGTGGCATCGGATTTTATCCCACATGTACACACACACACACACACACACACACACACACACACACCCCTAGGCTACCCCTAAAAGCAGATGTCACTAGACTGGAAAACACAACCAAGGGTCAAGTTTACTTCTTCTAGGTTGACTAGCAGATATGTTCACTTTGTTTGGAGACAACGGTGGGTAGAGAATGTGAGGTTTTCTCAGGACCAAATGGTGGCCAGCTGATGAGATAGTGACATCCCTGGAATCAAAGATCACCCTGCCTGCCCCCATACAGGGATTATGGTCCATCCCAAGCCTGTAGCCCCCAGGTTACATTCTATGCTTATGTTTCCCACCCAAGACACCTTAAAAATTTCTCTCAACTTCTCAGGTCATCTCTACTCACCAGAGGCTGGTTACAGTCTGCCCAGGAGTGAAGCCCAATAAATTTCTCCTGTTTCCTCACTTTACTTGTCTCTCTCCCACTGTCTGCAGTGGGAAAGGTCTCAGACCTATCAGGGACAATCCAAAGACAAAGACATGTAGGGCTGAAGTGATAATTCAGAAGGTAGGGCACTTATCTTACATGTGACTGGCCAGGCTTGATCCCAGGCAACACATATGGTCCCCTGAACCCCACCAGGAGTGATCCCTGAGCACAGAGCCCCTAAAAACCCAAGCAATGCTGAGTCCTGACTGCTTGGAGTGAAGTTGGTGGACTTCCATAGGTAGCTTATATGAGGTGAACAGGAGAGAAACAGTCACTTTCTCCTGATCCACCTCTGCTAGCTCAAGACCAGCTGGGAAGAATAGACTGATAAAGTCTGTGGATGAGCCCCTGTGTGGCATGGGCCA